AGCGGGATCCTATGGCTACGCCAGTCACTTGGGACAGGTCTTCCCACATGCTGAGGGCAATGGGAGCAGGCTTTGATCCCACTGCAGTCTGGAGCATTGGCTAGGCATGAGCCCAGTCCCCTAAGTGGATGAGATTTAGAGTCAGGCTGGAGGAAGAGCCCTTCTCTGCTGTGGCCTTTGTTGCAATGATGGATATGGCATCCAAGGGAGTGGAGAGACACTGAGCCCCCCAGTGGGCCTTGCAAGTAGCTGCAGTTTCCTGGACACTCAGCCCAAGCCTTATTATTGTCAATCTGTATCCCGTTGGTGTTCCCTGGGAAGGGCCAGAACAGAACCCAGTGACATGCCCTGGCCGTCAGGGGCCTCCAGATATCCCTTATCCAGTGTCCCTACAGCCACCTGAGGCTGCAGTCAGGCTGATGTCCACCCCCGTCAGTTGATGCTCACCCTTGTGGCAGCTGATTTAGTCTGTAGGAACAGAGCATGGTCAGCCCTTTCCCAGCTGCTCATGTATGTGAGCAAGGGCAGTGACAGCAGAGACCGACTGCTGCCCCCACTGGCAGCAGTCCCCAGGGCCCATGTCCCCAGGCCTTTCCCACTTGGTCTGCATATTTCTGAGGGTCCCTCGCAGGTCCTGAGTGTCCCTAGGGAATGGAGAGGCTCTCCAGGCATCTCTGGCAGCATCCCTGGGGTGAGGTCGGGAAGAGCACTTCTGGAGAGACCCCCCTGGACCTGCCCTGCACCAGGCATGGGTGTAGGTCCCTCTACACAGTTCTGTGATCCGTCCAGCACAATCCTTTGGGACTAGACCTTGACATTATTCCCATCATCCAAACGAGGCCCAGCAAAGGAGTGCCATTTATCCTAAGCCATACTACATGTGGGACTCATTCCTGTACAGCTGCACCTGGGCTCTGGTTCCCAGAATTGCAGAGACCCAGGACACAGATGGCAGTGAGCAAAGGGAGCCTCTCCCTGTGTAAGCGGGCATCATATCTCCCTCTCCCTGCCCCTCCTCCGCCCCACCCCGTGTCCTCCCATGACAGCCTGCAGCTGGCAGGGCTGGTGCCACCCACGCCCCTCCTGTCCCCTGCTCGGTGGCTCCTCTTGCTTGCCACCCCAGCCCTCCTGCTGTGAGTCACCTCTGCCAGGGAGCAGGTGGGGGGGGGCACAGGGTGGAGAGCCGGGGGAGGGGAAGGTAGACAGAGGAGCTCTAGAGAAAGGGAGAGGAAATGGGAGTCTCTTGCAGAGATTGACTACAGATGTCACTTCAGCTTCTCCTTTGGGCCTGCTGCCCTGGCTTCCAGGGGCTGAGTCCCTGAAGCCACACCCTGAGTGTCTTTGGGATCAAAAGTGGGCTGCCCCCCCCCCCGTCCCCAGCCACCAGCTTGCTACTGCTGCCTCTTGGGCATTTTTGGAACTAAACAGGTGATCACCTGTAAAGCTCACAGATGGTGCCTGTCCTGTGGCAGGTGCTTCAGAAGGACGTGTCACTGTGGCCTGGCTGCCAGCACCTGGGGGCAGGCCCTGCCTCTGTCATCTTTAAGGTGATGGGGCACTAGTCCTGTCACCTATATAGTGACAGCATAGAATAGTTCCGTTCTGCACCCTGAACCCTGAGAGAGTCACATCAGCTCCTGCAAGCTGTAGAACAAATAGTCTCTGGATCTAAAAGACAGCTCGAGCCTTAAGTAATACGCTGCCCTACCCAAGGGCAGCACGAGTGGTTTGCATTGGCCCAGTTTCTGCAAGTGGGTGTTGCAGACTGTCTGGGGTCTTCCAGTGGATTTCATGGGGCCCTGGGGCAAGGGAGGAGGAAGCCTTGTCCCTGGGCCCCTGGCTGCTTTGCTTGTGCCCTGTAGCGGCATTCGCAGGGGACACAGATTCTTCGGTGTATAGAAGCCCTGGGGGATGCAGCCCCTGAGCATGGAGAAAAGGCCTTGGCTTTGAGGCTGAACTGGGTCACCTGTTCTGCTGGTGCGGGGGATGGGGGCTGCCTCACCCTGCTGTGAGTCACTTAGCATGGGTGTGCGAGCTCTGTTAGAGCCACTTTTTTCCCCAGGTCCCTTGATGGCCTGGGCCTTGCTGGTGCCCAGCCCTGGGCCCACACATGCTGCTGAGCTCGGGGACACCTGAGGTGTGTATCTGACTGAGCAAGTCAGGCCTGCACACTGAGATCATAGCAGAATCACCTAGAAAAGCTTCCAGGCCTCGGCATTCCCGAGGGTGGCATCTCAGGACACTGCACTATCATTAGAATTCAGGCAGGCGGGTGGATAATTGCAGGCTCCGCTTTAGTAAAAAATTTGAGTAAAATTGTGTTGGGTATTTTTTGTTTTGTTATTTTCTGATAAGTACTTTTATGGGAATGTGGATGAATGCTGTATTCTAGCCGAGGGGTGTTCCTCTGGCAGGAGGAATAAATAGCACGTCTTTTGCCTGAGTTTCCCTAACCAGCCCCCTGGGTGAGCAGGTGTAATGTGTGTGTGCATGCGTATGTGTGCCATTGCCAAAGTCAATGAGCCAGCTTATATACAGCCCCTGTGTGCCCTTTCTTGTTTGGGGTGCAAACTCTCACCTCATATTTGAGCTCCTAACAGGCAATGGGAATCAGGAGCTCCATCTCTGGGCTTCCCATCAGAGAGAGAGAGAGAGAAAGGGACTGCTGCCTGGCAACCCACCTCACTCTCCACCCCTCCTCTTCAGCTGGCACTCCACAGGGGGCTCGAGCACATTTTGTAAGAGGGGCCCAGTGCTTGCTGGGGTGGATGATCTCCTTGAAGAAGTAGGGATGTCAGGGCTTCTGCTGACGCTGGGTGAGGCCTGAATCTGGGGAGGAAGGGAAGCCTCCCAGGGATGTTCCAAGGACATGCCTGTTGTGGGCATAGCTGTCCTTTTCCACAGTGATCTGTACCTTAGACCTCACGGCAACCACCTCAGCCAGGCCTGACTTCCCATAGGTAGGCACCCCCTCCCCTGCACTGGGAACCAGAGACCCGAAGACTAGCTTGCACACATCCTCAACAGCCTTTTTTATTAGTGCCTGCAGTATTAGTCTTCCTTTTCTGTTGGTCCTAGAGAGTTCCCGTTGTGAGGAAGGCACCCCTCTGAGATTTGGATTGGCACATCCATTATGGGCTCCACATTCTGGGAGGGGCTCAACACTCAGCAAGAGGTAGGGGTTGGAAATACCAGCTCCACCCCTCCGGGTCCACCCCCTCCCAATCTTGGCAGGGAGGCAGCTGCTGTCCTTAGTGCTAGTGCTGAAAAGCCTGCCTTTCCCCCCCTTCACACACACACACACACACACACACACACACACACACACACACACCACACACACACCCCCCCCCCCACACCACACATATACACACACCACACACCACACACATATACACACACCACACACACACACCACACATATACACAAACCACACACACCACACACACATATACACAAACCACACACACCACACACACACACACCACACATAGACACACACCACACACACCACACACACACACACACACACCACACACACACACATATACACACACACACCACCACCACACACACACACACACACACCACACATATACACACACCACACACCACACATATACACACACCACACACCACACACATATACACACACCACACACATATACACACACCACACACACACACCACACACACACACATACCACACACACACACACACACACACACACATATACACACACCACACACATACACCACACACACACACCACACACATATACACACACCACACACACACACCACACATACCACACACACACACCACACACACCACACACACCACACACCACACACATACACCACACCACACACATACACACACACCACACACACATATACACACACCACACACACACACCACACACCATATACACACACACACACACACCACACATGCATTTGTGCAGAGCAGCAGCACTAGTTGGCAAGAAAGGGTGTGCATGAGCTGGAATTGAGCTGTATCTTTCCCTGCTCAGCATTCCACTCTGATGCTGTGGCTGTGGCTATGGCTGTGGCTGTGGCCAGATGTAGCACCCCTTCTGGACAGGAGGCTTTTGCGGGGGGTTGCTATTGCTATCTTGATCATTTTATTATTATCTTATGAGTGTGAGTGTTTTGCATGTATGTCTGTGTACATGCATTTGTGGTGCCCTCAAAGGCCAGAAGAGGGTTGTGGGGTCTCCTGTTACTGAGTTATAGACTGTGAGCTGCCATGTGGGTGCTGAGACTCCAACCTGGGTTTCCTGGAAGAGCTGTCAGTGCTCTTAACCACTGAGCCATCACTCCAGCCCCTGGATCAGCTTTTGAAAGCTTCCTGACACCTTTGTTTGGAATGTAAAACCCTGGCTAGTAAGTTGCTCTATTGGGGGGGGGGGGGCTTAGGGAAGGGCTGATGGAGGAACAATGTGAACAGCTGCCCCTGCCAGGAGGAGATGGGCAAGCCAGCCACCTATCAGCCATTCCGAGGACAGGGTCCACATGTTCTGTGGCCGCTTGTCTCAGCCAGATCTATGCCTATGAGGCAAGAAGAGGCAGGGGGCTCTAGCCTCTGAGGACACATGCTTGCTGCCACCTGGCAGACACATTGTTCTACAGACCCCACAACTAGCTGGAAGTCGGATTAGAACAATAAGTGAAGTCAACTAAGAGAATTCCTGTTCTTTGCATTGCTGGGAGCACGCTCAGCCGGAGTTATGCTGTTCACTGCCTCCTATGTTTGTCTCTGTCCCAGGTACCAGTTCTTTCCTTTCCTCTCCCTTGCAGCCAGCCAGGTGGGTGCCCCAGAAGCCATGCAATGGGCGGACTTCTTCCTCAAACCCCCTGGGTAACCTCTTGTTTGGTGGCTGCTACAAACACTTGGGGACCTATCCTGATGTAACAGCCATGAGTCCCCAGCTGCTGAGAAACGAGGTAATACCTTGGCTTTTTCTGTTGCCAGATCACCAGAAACTGGAGAGAGAGGCTCGGATCTGCCGCCTGCTGAAGCATTCCAACATTGGTGAGCACCCAGAGGCGCGGGGAGTGGGTGGTTTTGAGGATGCCTATGGAGGTATTTAGAACCCAGGGCCTGGTCCGGTGACCTGTCCAAGCCTCACACATGGGGTGAGTGGCCCTGCCGGGAGGAAGTGGGCATTTGACAAGAGTCTTTCTGTTCCATTTGCCTGCACCCCACACAGATGGAAGCCAAGACGGGACAGTTACAGGATTCTGGGTGCCCTGCCAAGTCCTGGTCTCCAGAAAGCACAGCTGCTGTGCCTGTCAGTCCCTTCCTAAAGCCCAGACAAATGTTCAAGGAGCCGCAGGGACCAAGGTGGTGCCGACGTGGAAAGCTGGCTCAGATCTCCCTGGGCCACTTGGTCCTTCGTGGCTGTAGGGAGGCCCTTGTTATGTGTGTACACACATGAGTGCCTGTTCCCCTCAACTCTCGGCCCTCTGGAGCTGAGATAGAGTATGGGAGCTCAGATCTCACCCATGCTGGGGACAGCTGGAGACACCTTGGGTGTGGCTGCCACATCTACAGATGCAGGGCTGACCAACCCCAGAGGCACTGGGATTTATCAGCAGATTCTTGGGCTCTGCCCTCCAAAGATTCAGTTTTTCCAGGACACAGCCCAGGGTCCATTTTAAAGGGATCCCCATGACTGGATGGGGAACCTGGCTTCTACATCTCTTTCCAGCCCAGGGGCCGACAGAGAAAAGGAAAGTTAATCTGCTCTGGGAGTGAGGGGATACCAGCTGCTGTCCTGCTCCCAGCAGGGGGTGGAAGTCTTGGCTGGCCACTAGACCACACTGAGAGCTGGATGGGGAGAGATAGACCCTTCATTTCTGAGGTTCCTCTGGATCTCAGCCTCCAGCTGATTGAGCCTAGTCTCCTAGTTTCAGAGCCTTACCCTCTTTCTGTTTTTTGAGACAATGCCTCACTACATAACCTTGGCTGGCCCTGAACGTGCTGTGTAGACCAGGCTGTCCTTGCCTCCGTGTCCCAGGTGCTGGGATTAAAGGCATGTGCCACCACCACCCAGCATAGAGCCTTAGTCTCTTGACTTGGAGGTGCCTGGGCCTGCCTTGGAGAGCCCAGGAACCAGATCTCAGCAGTGTCCATGAGACCGCTGGGCCACTGGGTGCCTACAGTTTAGTGCCAAGAGCTGGTTATCTGTCACCACTGGGTACTGCATCTCTTCTTGGGGATCATGGAAGATGTCCCAACTCATCAGCACCTCCAGGTCCTTGCTTAACTGCTCCCAACTGTGTAGCAACCAAGAGCCATAGCCCATTCTGCCTGTGTTTGAATGAACTGTCTTATTTGGGTGAGTGGGGGCCCAGGTGTGTTTTAGGTTGGTGTTTTCTTTAGTTCTTCAGTAAGACATCTCCCTGGCCTGGCCGGAAGCCTAGTGTGGTTCTGGATGGGTTCCAAGCAGTGGCTTGGCTCCAGCTTCCTGTGAACTGGGGAGAAGAGACCACTAGAAGGTCTTGTAGCAGTGTCATTTCGGTCAGTTTAGAACACCAAACCAGAACATTCTGGGACATAGACCTGTGGTTGTGAGGCTCCTGTGGAACCCTTTCTGAAGGTCCAGGGGTTCTCTGAGGAGGTGGGGGGACTCTTAGGGCTACCCACAGCCTTCTCTTACCCCCCTAACTTCCCCCCACCTTTTTTTTGAGATGGTATTTCTCAGTGTAGCCTTGGCTACACTGCAACTCACTCTGTAGACCTGGCTGGCCTTGAACTCACAGTGATCCACCTGCCTCTGCCTCCCGAGTGCTGGGATTAAAGGCATGTGCCACCACTTTCCAGCATCAACCCCACTTCTAGACAGAAAACTGTCCACGGGCCACCCAGAGACCATGAGCAAGTGTTAGGGGACAGGTAGGGAGGTGGCTCTGGGTTGGGGGTAAGTTGAGAAGCAATGTGTGGCAGGCTGAGGAGGGGAGGGACCTCTGTCTCCCCTCGGATACTAGACATGGCTCCTGCTGCTCTCCTAGAGGCCTAGAGGCATGAACTGAGATGACTCGCTTAGGAAACAATATAAAACAAAGTACCTCCATCCTGGAAGCAGTATCCACTATAAAGCCCCTCCTTTCCAGAGGCCTGAACTAAGACCCACCCACACCCCTTCTTATTGATGGAAGGGGACACAAATGTCCTGTCTTTCACACAGTGTGCTCCAGAACAAACAGCCCCAAATCTTGGCCAACCAGGCTGAGTGGTCCCAGCATCTGCTCTCGAGAGCAGCTGGTCCGGTGGCAGGCCTCCACAGAGCTGTGGGACCCACGACAAAGTGTCCTTGGTTCAAAGGTTATTTCCACATCAGGGCTGCTGCTCTGGGGAGGACCAGGGTTGGATTCCCAGCACCCACGTGGCAGTGTACGCCCTTGATTCCAATTCCACACCTTTTTCTGGCCTCTGTGATTACTAGGTATACACTTGGCATACATAGATAAATGCAGGCAAAACACTCATAAAATAAAATAATTTTTAAAAAAGGATTTCAAAGCAGCAGCAGAAACAGAGCCCTCTTGAGCTGCTCAGGGTCTTCTCCAACTGCAAGCCCAGCATACTGATAACACCTAGGGCACTTATGAATGGTGGACACAGCCAGGACTGGGTCTGCCAAGGGCTTGCAGGAGCCTGAGAATTAATTTCCAAGATGGCTCCTACTGCAATCTCCGTTCCTCTCCATAAGTATCTCCCCGGAGCTATGTAAGCACCATTGTGACATGGCAACAGACTCCTCCAACGCCAGGGATAACAGAGGGAGAGGGTGTTAGTCAGTTTCCATTTCTGTGACAAAATACCAGAGCTAATCAACCTATAAAGTGAAACATGTTTTAGGTTATTATTACAGAAATATCAGTCTAGGGACTGAACAGGTGGCTCAATTGGGTAAAGGGCTTATCTATCATAGCAGCCCAAGGCTCAGATCCCCAGCACCCATGAAATGGCAACAGGCATGGTGGCCCACCTGCAGTCCCAGTGCTCAGGAGGTGGGGACGGGGCATGCCCAGAGCAAGGTGGCTGGCTGAACCAATGAGCTCTGGGTTCAAGTGAGAGACCCTGAGAGTAATTGAGGAAGATGCCAAGTGTCAATCTCTGGCCTCCACATGTACCTACACACATATGTGTGCCACCACATGTGTGAACATGCATACACTCTCACACACACACACTCACACGGTGTGTGGGGGGGTAACAGTTCATGGTTGCTTGGCCTGATTGCTTTGGACCTGTGGCAGAAGCAAATGTTGGAGAAGATCTGCTCACCTCACACAAGGCAGCAGAGGAACAAAGGGTAGAGAGGATGGGGGCTCCAAGATCACTTTCAGGAACAAATCCCCACTGGTCTAACTTCCTTCCACTAGGCCCCACCCCTTAAAGGAACCATCTCTCAATAGAGCCCAGTGCTGGAATCAAGCCTTCAACATGTGGGCCTTTGGGGGACATTTCCAAACACAATCTACAGAGACAAAACAGAGAAACAGAGACCAATGTGAGACAACAGATGGAGAAAGAGACCCAGAGAGAAAATGAGGGGCGTATTGCCTTTAAAAATCATGATAAAGCAATGCAGGGCAATGTTCCTGGGTAGATGCCCAGCATTCACTACATGGGCAGTGAGGTGGCCCACCCCCCCACTCCTTACCCCCCACACCTTTCTCCTCTTTCCCATCAGCTTCACCCTCATTGGACAACTCCCCACTCCCCTCCTCCAGTCGTTGGACCTTACATTTTGCTTCTGTGTCTGTGCCTGACCACTCTCAAAACCTCACAGAAATGGAGCTGAGCCATACATGGTCTGCCCTTCCATGACCGGCTTATTTTACTGAGTGATGATTTCCAGGGTCATCTTTGTCAGAATTTCTTATTCTTCCCCTCACCTCCCCCTTCTCCTCCTCCCTCCTCCTGCCCCCTCCTTTTCTTCCTCCTCCTCCTCCTTCATCTCGGAGACACAGTTTCTCTGTGTAGGCCCCTCTATCCTGGAACTCCTTGAACTCAGAGAACTGTCTGCCTCTGCCTCCCGAGTGCTGGGATTAGAGGTGTGCGCCACTGCCCAGCTGGCATTTCTTCCTTTTGAAGGCTGAATAATATTCACTGCATGCATGGCAGTTCCAGTTTTTGTTTGGCCATCGTTTCTTGATGGACACTTGGGGCTGCTTCTACCCCTTGGCTGTTGTGAGTAGTGCTGTTCTAATGGGGTACACAGGTGTATAAGTCCCTGCCTTCAGTCCTGAGTATACACCTGAGAGCGTGTTTAACGCTTGGAGGAACCTTGTAACATCTTATGATCTGTGTTGCGTGGTATCACTCCTGCATACTCTATCTGAAGCCCACAGGCAGGGTAAGCATTTTCCCTAGAGGAAATGCACCATAGAGTTTGGGATGCATTTTGCAGCCACCATGATGAGTACCTGAGGTTATAGACCTGGTTCCTACTTGCTGAACTGTCTCATTGTGAGTGAGACTCATGGCCTCCACCCTACCAGCCACAATGTAAATCCATCGACCCCCCCCCCCAGCTGCCAGCTCCCTAGCATCTGGACAGGGCTTGGCCAAGTGCTTGCTCTAGAGTGGCCCAGTCTCCTTCAGAGCCAAGGGGAGGGCTGGGAAGGTGCAGCTGCCCTAGCTGTGGCCTGACCTGCAGGTCTGACTGGGTCACTTGCAACATCAAGAAGCTTTGCCTGGATCCCCGTCCTGGGAAGTAGCCCGACTCATTCAAGCTGTCACCCCAGTCTTTGGACACCAGGTGTCCTAGTGTAAGCAGAGAGGTAGCCAGAAGCTCAGAAGAGAGCCACAAAGCAGAACCGAGAGGGATACATCCACAGGCCTTAATAGGGGGTTCTGGCATGGGGAAGGGGCTCCTCTGGCTTGTCTGGATAAAGATAGAATGAACAGGAGAACCCATGTGGTTGCCCGAGGCAGGGTCCCCAGGTGAAGGCTTTCAGACCAAGTTGTGACAGTGAAGTTGGTATCCACGTGACACTAATCCTTGAGCACAGATGGTCTGTGCCTCACCTGGATGTGTCCCCTGAGCTCAGCGCCATCCCCAGGGAGGCTCCAGAATTCATTATTCAGCATGCCTGTCGCATGCCAGGAGAGGCAAGTCCCAGGTCACTGGCGAGAGCTGCAGCAGGGCTTCTGATAGCTAAGACCACTGTTGACATCACGTACTTGGCCTCAGGTGGGAGCTAGTACCACTGTGGGTGCTGTCCTTAGCTCTCAGGTGTGGAAGACAGTTCTGCCTGGGAAGGAGAGGTCCTAAAGCCACCCCCCTTGCACAGTGACAGAGACCTCGGCAACACCTGTGACTAGGTACAGCTCCAGTCAGGAGTCCCGAGCCCCCTTTCCTGGATGAGGGCTTGCCCTCTGCACACCGCTCACTCTCTTCTGGGCCTGGCCTACAAGTCAGAAGGACCTTTCTATCTAGTTTCAGGACTGAGGAGCTAGGCTAAAGGACACCCAAAGGATGGAGCCCTCTGAGGACAAGGAGCCTAGGGAGAGGTCACACAGGTTACAGGAGCTGCCGCCAGGACTTCTGATAGCTAGCCCACTATTTACATTGCATGCTTGACCTGCTGCAGGTGGAAGCCAGTGTCACTGCGAGTCAGAAGGACCCCCAAGTCCTTTAATGTTTGGGTGCCTGGGGCTTCTTTGCCCTCAAAAGCCACAGCTTCAGCTGGACTTGGGGGTCGGGGCCCTTGAGCTCTGCTCAGCAGAAGTGAAAGGTGTCCTCAGCAGCTGGATGTCCTCAGCAGAACAGACGAAAGGATATGGTTTCTGCCTTCTCATTCCTGGGAGATCGAGGCCAGTGTGTTAGCTCTGGGTGAGATTTGCTCCTGGCCAACTGACCCAGACCCTCCTGGCTGGCCTGGCAAGAATCTGTGGTGGACTTCTCCACCACCATCTCTGAATATCAGCCAGCGGTGTCCTGTATTTCCTGTCCTTAAATAGATTCTGTCACAATTCACTTCTTCCTTAACCTTTTCCGTGAATTCACAGATTGGATGTGCTGGTCAGGGTTTATTCAAAGCCATTAAAATAAGCACCTGTTTAAAAAAAAAAAAGATATACCTATAGCCCTGTGGTTCCTTCTGTGGGAGAAACCTATGTCCGGGAGATGGGCCCCACCCTGCCAAGCCTCTTCTGTCTCTAAGCAGGTGACTGAGGACAGGCAGCCTCCACCAGCAGGCCTTTCCTGGGGAACCTAGGGGGCAATGAAGCAACTGTGTCTTAGAGTTCCGTTGCTGTGAAGAGACACCATTACCACAGCAACTCTTTCATTTAATTGGTGCTGCCTTACAGACCATTATCATCGTGGCAGAAAACATGGCAGCATGCAGGCAGCCATGGTACTGGAGAAGGAGCTGAGAGTTCTGCATATCGGTCCACAGGCAGCAGGCAGATAACTGGTTTGAGTTTCTGAGACCTCAAAGCCCACCCCCTAGTGACATACTTCCTCCAGCAATGCCACGCCCACTCCATTGAGGCCACACCTCCTAATAGTGCCACTTCCTGTGAACCTAAGGTGCCGTTCCTATTCAAACTCCACACACTCCAGGGACCTGGCTGGACCTCCTCTAGAGCAGCATTCTTCAGTGATAGATGGAAGAAAATCCTCCCATGACTGCCTTCTCTGCTCAGAGTGTCATGTCCCGCTGGGGCATTTCAGACAGGCCACCCTAATGGGCGGGCCCCCACTACGAAGGAGCCAGACCAGTGCGTTTTGGCTCAACCTCGGGGATTTTTGTTGGCAGGTCCTAGAAGGAGGCTTCCAGCAGGCACTGGGGACTCATCTTGACTTAGGGAGACACAGGTCAGCCTGGACAGAGTGAGGATCCAGTTAGACTTAGAGGATCTAGGGGCCAAGTAGAACACTCTCTAGGGGCTCTCACTCGGGGGCTCTGGTGGCCCAGGGAGCTGAGGGTGTGGGTCCCAGTGGACTGGGGGAGAAGCTGAACTTAGAGCCAGGAAATGGAGGAAGAAATGTGTGGACCCGTGTCCATTGTGGCAGCTGCCGGGCCACTGCCATGGGCTTCAGGTCCTGGAGTGGCCGCAGACTCGTAGTCTCTGTCATTTGGTGTTTCTCATACCCATGTGATAGTGGTGATGATGACCGGCACAGAGCTGTGGCTCAGGGGGCACCCAGGGCTTACTGCTTCGTGTAAGTTACAGAGCTGCAAACTGAGGCTCAGGGGACTGGGGGCCCCTCCCAAGTCACACAGCTAGTTTGATGGCCACAGACAGTGTCCCTCTGTTTCCTGGCCCTGTGGAGGGCCTGGGGCCTGGAGTCTCTCAAAGGTAGACACGAGGTGAAGTGCCCCATGGGGCTAAGGCTCTGGAACCAAGCTGGGAGAAAGACAATATCAGCGCTCCTAGGCATAAGAGATGCCTGGGAGAAGCCGGTGCCAAGAAGGAAGATGCCGGCAGCCGGCTAGAAACTAGGACAGTGCGGGAGGGTGCCTGGAGCAGGAATTTGTGTGGGCTGTTTTTGCCTGAGGTCCTAGAGCCCTATGGGACCCAGGAGAAGGTGGCTGCTCTTCACCCTCCAGCCTCGTGGCCCAGTCTCGGGTGGCAGAAGACAGCAAAATCTTAGAGATCCCAAGAGGACAAGGACCAGGGCTGGCACTGTGCGTTCACTGGAACCAAACCCTTGACCCCACAGCCCCCACTTCACCTTTCGTGGGTTGTGTACCCTCGGGTGGTTCGTCAGCCTCTGCCACAGCTCCCTTTCCTGCAGCCTGGAGGGGTGGCGGGGAAGCTAATTGAAATAACACATGCAAGGGCTCAGAGCAGCCCTGGTGTACAGTGGGGGTGGGGTGGGGTGGGGGAGGGGTGGGGGTGGGATCTGCAGGTGGAGAGCAGGGCCCAGAGTGAGTCGTTCCTAGGAAATCCTTACTGCCTGCTGCAGAGTGCAGCTCCAAGCAGAGGCCGCACTACAGCTCTTCATTCCTCACAGCCCATCAACCCCTACCCAGCCCAGGCAAGGACTAGGAGAGAGCCTGAATACAAGTTCACAAGTGGCGTGGAAATAGGACCAGAGGGAGGGAGCCGGTTAGACCCCACTGGCCTAAAGGAATCAGAATGAAGGCCTTCTGAGCCTTTGAAGGCTACCACACTTGGAAGAAGCTACCTTCTGAGCTTAGTCTCTGCCTGCTGAGGGCAGCCTTGGGGTCCAGAATGAATAATGGGTTTGTTTCCTGCAGAATGCTCTCCTGGGATGGTGGGGCTCCTGTCAGGGGCCTGCAGCAAGGCTTTCTGGTGTTCCCTCTGGTAGGGTTGGAAATAGGAGCACAGAGGGAGCCAAGGAGAGGTCACAGTGCTGCCTAGAGCTCTGTGTCACTCTCTTAGAGCCAGCTTGTAGCTCCCCATGTCCCAGTCAGCCTCCCTGGGGGAGACCCCGTGGGTCAGAGAGGAGCTTCCCTACCCAGGCCTTGCACCACTGCTGCTGGTGTGGGCCCAGACAGGGTGGATGTAGGCTGCCTCTGGCTCCTCATGATGTCTCTGTTCCTGCAGTGCGTCTCCATGACAGCATCTCGGAAGAAGGCTTCCACTACCTGGTCTTCGATCTGTAAGTACCACAGCCACCCCCAGCGTGGGACCCTCAGCCTCTGCAGATTCAGAAACAGTTCTGTCCCCACATCAGGATACTCCTTGAGCACACCTCCGCAGTGGGTTACCTTGTTCCCAGACAAATCCAGATTACCCACCTCTGACTTGGCTATGCACAGGTTTTACCCACAAGTCTGACATGCTGAGCTAGTCCTCCATGCAGAAAGCTGGTAGGTGGGGGCAGTGGAGGGGAGACCCGAGAGCAGCCAGTGCCCACTCACCTTCCTCCCTTCTGAGGCCTTGATACGTCAAGTCTGTCATGCCAGGTTGGGGCATAGCTAACTAGCATGAGCACGTGTCTTATAATTATGAGTGAAAGGATGTATGTGCACACACATGGGTGATGGTACCTGAGCTTGTGAGAGAGACTAAGTACAGAGATGGTTTGTGTAAGGTCCATGTGTGTACATACATGATGTCTATTTTATGAGTGTGAACCTGTGTGTGGTTTGGAGATACAGGCGTGTGTGTGTGTGCGTGTGCGTGTGTGTGTGCACGCGTGTGTGTGTGTGTGTGTGTGTGTGCACGCGCACGTGTGAACGTGTTTGCATGAGAGTGTGTGCAGTAACTGAGTGAGAAGGCGTTTGGGGCCAACTCCGCCTCTCACTTCCTGCCGGATTTAGAAGCGATGATCTCATCTCCCTTACTCTTGACAGCTCCTGCTAAGCAGCACCTATATTTAGCTGTCCGTGAATCAGGGCTGCTTCGGGACCCTGGACTGGGTGGGGGCCCAGGGGCTTTGGCCTGCCCTGGTAGCCTCCAGACTGCACAACCAGGGAAGCCTGGATCTGGTGCTGTTACCATGGTTACCGCATGCCCTCTGGCTGCCCTTGAGCAACAGGCTGAATGGGAACAGGAGGGGCCTTCCTAGGCCCCTCCCCACTCTTCCTCCCACAGATGATAGGCGTCCAGCTGTGGGGCATGCAGGCCTTAGTGTCCTCTGACCCTGTAAGGTCTCTGGTGAAGAAGTCGGGCTGCCCCTTCATGGAGTTTGGTTATTTCTCAGATACCTCTATGTGTCCCACAAGACCCTGCCTAGAATTATCAGCTAGATAACACCACTACAGTTGGACTGAATCTGTGCCGAGACATCAATCCCATGGTGGGATTGTCCTGAGGTGGACAGGCTCACTGTTTCCCCTGTGTGCTCAAGACCTGCTTTCACCACCCTCTCTTCTCCTAGACCTGTGGGCTGAGAGTGGTCCTGTCCAGGCCCCCGACTGCCAACAGATGGCTGAGAAGGAAAGAGAAGGGGGAGGAGTATATGTGTGTATGTGTGAATATAACATATATCCCTGAGACCTCCCAAGACATGCCAGGCAGGCAGCTACAGGGAGAGACTGAGGATGGCAGGTCTGGACAGAGAGCCTAAATAGCCTTCTCCCATGCCTCGCAGCCTCCAGGCTTGTGGGTTCTGAGGTGGTCTGATAGCACCCCAGGAGGCCCTGAGACCCTGTCAACTTCTGGAAGATGACTGGCACACACAGGCCTGGGAGATGGCTGGTACACACAGGCCTGGGAGATGGCTGGTACACACCACACAGGCCTGGGAGATGGCTGGTACACACAGGCCTGGGAGATGGCTGGTACACACCACACAGGCCTGGGAGATGGCTGGTACACACCACACAGGCCTGGGAGATGGCTGGTACACACCACACAGGTCTGGGAGATGGCTGGTACATACCAGACCTGGGCATGGAAGCTACAGGACAGGCCTAGCAGTGGTCTCAACTCCCTGCCCCAAGACTGTGGACCAAGAGATGGTCCTGGTGACCACAGACCAAAATGCAGCTTCCTGAACACTTGAGGTACCTCAGGGGGCCTGGCCCTGGCACAGATCTGGCACCTCCAAGGGCATCACTCAAGCTACAGCTCCGCACCAAGACCCACTGGCCCTATGCTGTTTTCTCTGCCCAGATTTGAATTGGCAAAGCCTGGTTCAGGAATATGTCATGCTGAGACTCGAACAATCGATCACCCAGCGCCGAGGATAGCAGCCCCTTACCTGGGCTGCTCCTGGATCTGATTATCTTGTTGCACATGTGGCAACCTGCGCACTCACGGTGCTGCTTTTCCCATTTTGGGGTGGGCATTTGCTGGTTGGAAACAGAGACAAAGACAGGAGGGTGTATGGTCTCATGGAAACAGGAATTCAAATACCTCAGGACCTCAGCCCACCGGGAGGCTAGATCAGGCACTACTACATCCTCTGGATCCTTTCACCACTGTGTGAGGCCTCAGGTCTAGCCTCAGGGGAGCATTGAAGTGGGGAACCAGATACCCTCAGATCTAGAATTAGAATCACAAAGCAGGGTCTAACACTAACACCGCTGGCTCAAACCCCTGTAGGCCTACTGTGGGGAGACCACTTAGAGCTGACAAACTCAGTGTTCCCAGGGGATGGTTGGGAGGACAAGCAGTGACTGTCACCAGATGTGAGCAAGTATGCCCTTGACAAGGCGTCAGTGTGCTAGGATGGAGGCGATGGTGATCGGGAGTGATGGTGATGAGGCGTGCTGCTACTGATGGTAGTGATAGTGATGAGATGTAGATGTGATGACAATGGGGATGGTAGCACTGGTAGTGGTGATGGTGAGACGGCGGTGGAGGCAATGATGTCGGTGGTCATGGTAGCTGTGATGATGTAATGAGAGGTGATATGAGAACAGTGACAGCGATGGTGGTCGTGGTAGTGATGGCAGTAGTGATTGTGATAGTGATGGTGATGACAGTGATGTGATGGTGGTAGCTATGATGGTGGCCCTGATGGCAGTGATGACAGTGGTCATAATGGTAGTGATGGTGGTTATGATGGTGATGATGGTGGTGATGATGATGATGGTGATGGTGGTGATGGTGATGGTGGTGATGATGGTGATGATGGTGGTGGTGGTGGTGATGGTGGTGATGATGATGGTGGTGGTGATGGTGGTGATGATGATGGTGGTGATGGTGGTGATGATGGTGGTGATGGTGGTGATAATGATGATGGTGATGGTGGTGATGGTGGTAGTGATGGTGGTGATGGTGATGGTGGTGGTGATGATGGTGATGGTGGTGGTGATGATGGTGATGGTGATGGTGGTGGTGATGATAGTGGTGATGATGGTAGTGATGGTGGGGGTGGTGGTGATGGTGGTGATGATGATGGTGGTGGTGATGGTGGTGATGATGATGGTGGTGGTGGTGATGGTGGTGATGATGATGATGATGGTGGTGGTGATGGTGGTGATGGTGGTGGTGGTGGTGGTGATGGTGGTGGTGATGGTGGTGATGATGATGATGATAGTGGTGGTGATGGTGGTGATGATGATGATGATGGTGGTGGTGATGGTAGTGATGATGGTGATGATGATGGTGGTGATGGTGGTGATGATGGTGGTAGTGATGGTGGTGATGATGATGGTGATGATGGTGGTGATGATGGTGGTGGTGATGGTGGTGATGATGGTACTGATGGTGGTGATGATGGTACTGATGGTGATGATGATGGTGGTGATGATGGTGGTGATGGTGGTAATGATGGTGGTGATGATGGTGGTGATGATGGTGGTGATGATGGTAGTGATGGTGGTGATGATGGTGATGATGCACAGTGATGGAGGTATCAGCAAGATGAGGATCTCCAGGATCCATGACCATGTGCTTTCCTCGTAGGGTCACTGGTGGGGAGCTCTTTGAAGACATTGTGGCAAGAGAATACTACAGTGAGGCTGACGCCAGGTGGGTTCAGAGCTCCACACCATGCTCCCTTTCCTAACCTCCAGCTCTTTCCTCACTTACCCCACTCCTGCCCTCTCTGTAACCCACATTTGTCCCATGAGTCATTGTCATTTTCATGGCCCCTCAGAGGTCAACTGAGTAAAGTGTCAGCAGGTCTGTGGCCAACGGGGAACTCTGAGCAAGAGTCAGGAGCAAGGGCAGCTGCATGCCTTTAGCTAGCACAGAGGTGTGGTCTGAGTGGGGAGCAGCTGGGCATGCGCATTAGGGAGGTACTCTTCTTGTGGTGGCTATTATCCCAGGAGACCTTGACCTCCCTGCCTTGCTCTTGGACATCCCGTCAGTAGTCCATTGGCCTCCCACAGATAAGCATGCACACACGATTTCCTAAGACAGGCCAGGAATCAGTCCCACTCAGAGCCACCTTGGGCTCCACTCAGCATGGAGTGGAGTGTACTGGTGGAGCTGCTGGAAAAGGTTCTGGTGTTCCTCTCTCAGAGCTCCTGGACTCCTACTCTCCTCACTCCAGAGCAATTGGGGGAGGACAGGGGAGACCGGAACCTTAGTCTTAGTACAGGGCCAAGGGCCCTATGTCCAGGATTCCAGGCAGAGGGTTGCCCTGGATTTATGGGCCTGGTGTGTGTGTGTGTGTGTGTGTGTGTGTGTGTGTGTGTGTGTGTGTGTGTGTGTGAGAGAGAGAGGGGAGAGGGGGGGGGGGGGGGCGGGAGAGAGAGAGAGAGAGAGAGAGAGAGAGAGAGAGAGAGAGAGAGAGTGTGTTCAGGCCTGAATTCCTGGTGGATATTTGAAGAAACAGCCTTTATCACCAGGCCAGTCTTTGTCAGGACAATGAAGAAAGACAATGGCCCAGAGATGGCTGTTTATGGCCTGGCTGCTGGGGACCAGATGAAGGGTGTCAGTTGTGGCTTCTGGATGGGTTTCTGGGGGCCCATGTCAGATGCTACCCAGACTGTATCTGCAGATGGTCGTCCCTGTCCATTGGCCCTGTCTACCTCTGCCTGGCCACAGAGATAGATGTGTGTTTGAAAAAGAAAAAGGGGCCACAGTGGTCCTTTCCAAGCCGTCGAGTTATGTGTGGCTTTAAATTTTTTATCTCGTCTATTTTAAAGCTTGTCTTTAATGAATATATGTTACATCTCTAATTGAGAAAAATGAATGTCATTTTTACAGGATCTTTATGTGGCTTGGTTCTGCACTAGCAGGCACCATTGCCTTTCACCACAAGTCCAAGTCCCTGTGGGAAACCATGAGCACTCTGGCTCATCATGGCATCTTGGGTATTCCCCATGGAGCCAGGCAGCAGAGGCCAAGCCACGGAGAAAGACAGGGTGGGGCAGGCCTGTGGCCCCAATTCTCAGTCTCAGGAAACTAAGGGTGCCGAGTCCTTCTGAAGGCTCCTTCAGGAAAAACAATTGTGTTTTGATGAACACCCAGAAGAGGCCTGTCTGGTAGACTGGCAGGAAAGGAAATTTCCCTTTATATTCTGCTTATAAGAGGGGCAGATGGTAGAAGGAAGCCTCTTTCCCTGACCTAAAATGCTGGGTAAGACGGCAGTAAGCTGGGTTATCAGGGCCCTTCCAAGTACCTACTGGGGTGTCTAATGCTCCTTCTCTCCTTAGCCATGTCTTGTAGCCCTTGCCCCCACTCCATTCCTATGACCCCATGTGGTGTGGGGATCCCTGTAAGCATTTCCTGTAACTTGGGGACTACTACCACTGGAGTCAGAGCTCACCCCCCCCCCCCCCCAGTATACAGGCCTGCTATCCTTCCAAGGTCACACCACTGGGCCGCCTAGCCAATCTCTGACAGACCCACAGCGCCATCTGGTGGCTCTGAGGCACCTGGCCTGTAGCAGAACACACAATCCCTCACCCTTCATTCCTGAGCCTCCAACCTTCTTGCTACAGGGGATGGGGGATTACGGTAGACAAAACCCTGTCCCAGATCTCTTGTGTCCAGGAGGGCTCAAGACCAGGAGTGGCTGGGAGTCTCCAAGTTCTTAGGCTGTTCAGGTTATAGGAACCGGCTGGGAGAGGGAAGTGCCCCCATGTCCTTGCCATGTCTCCTCAGAGGACAGTAATGTCTACTGCCTCCCAGGGAAACCCCATGTGGAGAGTGTTGCAAATATCTAAGTTTTCCTGCATCTAGCCCTGGCCCAGAACACATGGACTGTCTCACCATGCAGCTCTTCACAGGGCGCTGCTCTCTGGGACTTAGGAATCTAAGGGAAGGAGCATGCTCAGTAGACGGGCTGCCAGGAATGGTGGGTAGCCTGAGCCCTGAAAGGAGGGGAGAGCACATGAGGAATCCCCATAAAGAGGCCACACCCCATTTGTATGATAGCCCCATTGCCTACAGGGTGGTTCCTCAGTGACCGGGCCTTTCTTTCTCACTGGGGACTCAAATCCCTGGCAACCTGCTGGCTGGACCTTTATGCTTCTGCCTCCAGCTTTGGTGCCTAATGGGGAGTCTGTCTAAGTTGTTGTTACCCCACAGCTATTGACTCACCCCAGGGTGGATCCCAACCCTGACTAGAGTAGAACTTGTGCCGGGTTGAGAGAAAGGGCACAGAGGAGATAGACCAACACAGTCTGGCCAGATGTAATAGAGGCAGATTCCTAACGTCCAGGCAGGAAAACAGAGAAGAGTGGGCTTTTCTGAAATTGTTTCTATCCAAGGAAGTTGGAGGTTCCTTTTAGAGAGCTATGGGGATTTTAATCTGGAGCTTGTAGAGAAACTTAGAGGTGATCAAGCCTTTTTGAAAACCAAGGAAAACCAAGTTGCAAATACAGAGACGATTCTTGCAAGACTCAGACACCAGACACAGTGGCATGCGTCTGTCAAGTGGGACAGTGTGCCCAGCTACTGTGGTGCTGACTACGTCCCAGACAGAGAACCGTATCCAGAGCCTGGCCAGTGGCCAGCATGCTGTCCAGGATGATTCTGGCCACAGAGTGACTTCTAAATTGATCAAAACATTAAGTATTGACTTTGCCTGGCAAAGTGGAGGTAGCAATGGGTCCAAAGCAGCTCGAGTAATCGAGGTCCCTGATTGTCCATTCACGGGTAGCCTGCCTTCAGGCTAGTGTTGTTATTTTCCTTCACTCAGCCTGGTACCACGTTCTCCTGGAGAGCCTAGGCTTGACCACCTTGTTCCTGGATACTAGAGACCCTCACAGGGTGGCTCTGCCTGTGTGGGAACTAGACCATGCCAGAAAGGGAAGCCCGCGAGCCCAGCAGCATGGGCTCGTGCCTCTGGGCACCTAAAGAGGGCTCTGGCGCTTTTTTCAGGACCCAGAACCAGCAGGCAGGGTGGGGCAGTGTGCACAGCTACATGCATGCTGGTCATGCCATCATGGAGGGTAAGGCCACAAGGCCTGGCCTAGAGCCTTGACTGGACTTAAATGGTCTCTCAAGAGACCGATCTGGAGGAAGTTCGTTGAGGAAGGTGCTAGCTCTGGCCCTCAGCATTCTCTGCAGGGTGTGAGGCAGGCTGGGTCCATGCTGGTGGTGTCTAGGAAGATGACACTCCCTAGTGAATATAAATTGATCCTTTGGAAGAACATCCCAAGCAGAGGAGAGGTCAGCCAAGCAGGGCTGTGCAAACCACAGACTTGACTGGAGACCTGTAGTCTGTTCCCATTTTCTCTAAATAGGGCCACAGGGCCTGGCTGTCCATTCTGTGTATTCTGAGAGGCCCATTGGCCATTGGGACAGTCAGAGGAGCCCTCTGCGCTTGTCAAGGCTGGGGGAAGAGTTCTGAATTCGTAGCTGTGCCCCCATTGGTTCTGGTATATGTCATGTTTGGCCCATGGGAAGACTGAGCTCTGACCATTTGAGTGGGACATGCTGTGCCCAGTCCTACAGGCCTTACCAAGAATGCAGCTAACCCCTAACCTGCATGGGACTGAGAGCCACCTTACATGACAAGTGCTAAGCTCTTCTTGGGGACCAGAGAGAGGGTAAGGATAAGTAATGGTTGGTACCAGGCAGAGTAGGATGTCATGAGAAATGGCAGTTCCTTACTGGTGACATAAGGCCCTTCAAAAACAGCAGGAACAGGAGATGGGCCAAGGTGAACCCTGGGAGGGGGCTTTGAAGGAGGGTCTCAAGACCCCAGAACAGGTGAGAGGTGGTAAATTTATAGAGGGCTTCCTCCCACATATTGGACATGTGTAACACAAGAAATATAAACCCAGACACAGATATTGGGGTTCAAGCTCCAAGCTGAAGATCAGAAAAGCAAAGTAGCCAAGCCAGTAGATCTTACCTCTACCCAGATGAAATGGCAATCCAGTCTCCACAAGTTATCAGAGGCAAAAGCTCTCAGTTCCTGCCTCCTCCTGCCTCTTAGTTCTTTCTCCACCCAGACATCTCACTCCTGTCCACCTCCCTAGTGCTAGGACTAAAGGCGTGTGATCCCAAGGCTGGGATCACCTCTGTGTGAGCTGTTTCTTTTAGGACTGGATCAATTTTGTGTAGTCCGCGTGGCCTTGAAATAACAGAGATCTGTCTGCCTCTTAATCCTGAGTCCTGGGATTAAAGGTGTGTACCACCACCTCCTAGCTCTATGGCTGCTGGGATTAAAAAGTGTGTATCATCCCTGCCTGGCTTGTGGCTGACTTTGCTTCCTGAATCCTCAGGCAAGCTTTAATAAATCATAAATAACACATCATCACAGACATGGTTCTTTCTGAGCTCACAAACCTTGGGTTTGTACCCACTAGGATGTCAAGGGAGTGCCTCGTGGGGAGGAAACTTAAGTGCAGTGCTGGCCATACCCACCTATGGCCAGACTTGGGGGTAGGGGTGCTGTTTGAGAAGGGTGGGCCCCATAGCCCCAGGAAGCCAGCCTCTGGTCACCCCGGTTTCCTAGGATAGGGTCGTGTGGGACTTGTGCCTGGTGCTGGGGGCTACTGGGTTGGGGGAGGAGGTTGAGCACAGACTACAGGCTTCTGTGTGCATAGGGCTGGTGCCCCTGAGTCTGATGTGTGGATGGACCGGAAGGGTCTGAGACTGACACTGGTAGACGTCACCAGTGAAGAGAGAGCTGGAACAGAGGGGACACCCATGATCAAGCTAGAGAGGCATCCTGTACAGTGGCTTCTGGAAGCTGAGCTATATGCCTTCACGTGGATAGAGCTGGGCTGTATGATGGGCGTCCAGGCGCCATACCTATTAGATGAAGAAGCACAGTATTGCATCGTCACTGCTCCAAAGCACACAGGCTCATCTACATACCGCGGTACCCATGCTCCTACCTGCTCCACCCTTCCTCGCAGGAGTCTCCCCACGCTCTTGCCCACGGTGCTCACTCACTGCTGCCCTCTCTGCCCAGGCTTAGGGTAAGCTGGAAACCAGAGTCTTTCCCTTCAGAAGCAGGGCAAGAACTAGATTGGCTGCCCTTGGGGCTGAGGAAGGACTCCCTTGTGGCCAGCATCTCCTTTCGCCATGACTCTCTTCATCCTCCTTGCCCTCCCAGGCTAGGGACTGAACCCCAGTGCTTTCCATCCCTCCTGTTGCTGCCACCCTCCTGGCCACCCTAACTTGCCTGCTGTTTGTTATAGTCACTGCATCCAGCAGATCCTGGAGGCTGTTCTCCACTGTCACCAAATGGGGGTTGTCCACAGAGACCTCAAGGTGAGTTTCTACCCTGCTCTGTGATAGGTTCTGTCACCCACACCTACAGACTGTGTGAAAGGAGGTGTGGGTAGGAGGGAGTGTGGGGGTGTGGAAGGTGTGTGCACACTATATGCTTGCATGAAGGAGCACAGGCCACGTGCACATGCGTGAACACAGGCATGGAGCATGTGTATGTAAGCATCTGGGTGTGTACATGCATGTGTGTGCATATATGTGAGATATAGTTGCACACTTACAACCCAGTGCCTCTGTCGCTGGGAGAGCCAGTCTTCTAGAACCATCTTGTTAACGGATGTATTCTCAGACTCTCACTCTTTAGTCTTCCACCAAGATGCAGCTCTCGGGCGGGGACACAGGTAACTGGGGACAGGTGAAGAGAGTAGGTTTGGTCTCATTTGGACAACTGCTCTCAGATCTCTTTCCAATTCTCTGCCGCCCACAGCTAGACTATGGGCTCTAGGCTCCGTTGAAAGAAAATTTGTAGCTGGGTATCATGGCTCATCCCTTTAATTCCAGTGCCCCAAAGATTGAGGCAAGAGGCTCGAGAGTTCAAGGCTAGCCTAGGCTACACAGCAAGTTGGAGGCTAGCCTACAAACTCTCAGAAGCCTCCCCCTTTTGCCCTCACCCCTTCTTCTCTGTAACCTCTCCTTTCCCAAGGCCCAGTTCAGCCTGTTGCTGAGTCCACCTGAGCATTAATTAGTGCTGGCTGGGGTGGTCTCTCCTTTCTTAGGACACAGGCCAGGGGCCAGTCTTTACAGCTGTTCTGGGGAGGGAGTCGCACAAATTAGAGCCGGGATGTTCCCTGCATCTCTTCATCTGTCCTTGCATCCTTGAGGATTCTGTCTGTGTTATCTAGCACAAGACCCCTGAGATGAGGAGGGCATATGACCCCCATCTTATTAGGTACAGGCACTCCGTTGCTGGAGAATTAATGTTGAGGCTGAAGCATAGATGAAGACGTATGAGTTCCCTCAGGTCTGCAATCCTGGACAAACAAGATCTTCCTGTGGAGAGGGTAGAATGTCCCTCCCTTCCCAGAGACACCCTACCCACAGATGGCATAGCACTAGCCTGATGCTACAGTCACTCAAGGCGGGAGAGAGCATGGTTAGCTGGCATGTCTCCAGTGGTGGCTGTGAAGGGGCAGCCCGGCCTTGATGGCCCAACTGCTGCCTCCCTCCAAGGCCCCGGACTTTCTCGCCTTGCTCCTTCTAGGCTCCTTCTAGGGCCCCCATTTGCTTGACACATATTCTCCACCATCATTTCCTGTAGGAAGGGGTGGGGCCCCCAGAGTAAAGCTTGTGGCCCTTACCATGCTCACAATGGCAAAATCAAAATGGGCGAGATTGAGCATGACCCCTGCCTATCACCAGCAGGGGGAGAGTTCTAGGGGGTCTGTAGCTTCGGGCTTGCCTACTCTGCACTCACAGCTAGGTCTGCCCATAGGCCGGTGCCCAACTCAGGAAGCCCACATCTTGCTGTATAGGGTGGGCCTACTTTGATTCCAAGAGCCGCCATTATGCCATGTAAGTCCTGAGACCGATAACAAAAGCAGTCCTTGGGGCAGTGTGCGGTGCGGCTGCAGTATGATCTCAGGAATGGAGTGCCTCTGTGGAATGGTGAGGGTGCCTATGAGTTTGCCAAGTGGACCTGAGGGCTGAAGAGCCCTCTGGTGATCGGGAGCCGGCAGCATCCTGCTGAGCTCTGAGTACTGCCCAGAGACCTGCTCCTGGGGAGCTAATGCACCGCAGAGACAGGCCAAGGTTGAACAGAAAGGCCAGGGAAAGCAGCAGCAGAGGAGGCCCTCAGGCCCTCCACAATCCAACGATGACAACCTCTCTGGCCGCTTTTTCAGGATGAAACAAATGTCCCTCCAGCTGAAGCAAGACTGTTTCTCCCTAAGGAGGCTTTTCTCACCTGTGGATGCAGACAGACTTTCTGTGCCTTGTAGTAGTGCTGACTGGAGCGGGGTGGGACTTGGTGGGCGGGCTGAGCCTGGCTGGTAGATGCCCTGAGTTGACCCAGGAATTGTAGCCCTGGACGTTCCTCCATGCCCCGTGAAGGCTACTGCCCAAACCATTGAACTCTTTTTCATGTCTGAAGCGAGAGGGGCAGGTCTGACCTTCCATCAGTGGGGCAGTCCTGTAGCTCAGTGGTGGGAACTGTTGTGGTTATTTGTGAGGGTTTTGTTTCCACATTAGGAATCAGGATACCCAATTTCAATCTGAGAGCCAGCTTCCCTCTGAATGACTAGGGTGGCTGTCCTTGTCCCCAGAGAGGATTCAGGCTATAGTGTATAGGTCTAGGACTCAGTAGTGCCCAAGGACACCCATGTTGGGAGGCTGGCTGTGCCTCTCTGTCCCGCAAAGTGCTGCTGAGGTTTTGTCCTCTGACCCCTGCAACTGCTCATGGTGTGAACACTGTATCCCATGGCTGTCTCCCTGTAGCCCGAGAACCTGCTTCTGGCCAGCAAATGCAAAGGGGCCGCAGTGAAACTGGCAGACTTCGGCCTGGCCATCGAGGTGCAGGGAGACCAGCAGGCATGGTTTGGTGAGTGTCGGGGGGTGGGCAGGGAGTCCTGGCAGTTCCTCATGGCCCTTCATGGTCCCTTCCCCTTTGACAGGATTTGCGGGAACGCCGGGCTACCTGTCCCCCGAGGTCCTTCGGAAGGAGGCTTATGGCAAACCTGTGGACATCTGGGCATGTGGTAAGACCTGCGTGTGAGAGGTGGTTGGGTTGCATGATGAATGCGTGGTCCTGTATCTCAGGGCTTACTCCCTCTGTCCCAGAATGTGCAGGTGGCTGGCTTACCCTGCCCTGAGCCGTGTGTATGTCAGACCTGCGTTTGGGCTGCCTTGGCAGGGATCTCACACCCTGACTAGAATTACCAATGTGCCCCAGGCCGTTATGTTTGTCTGCCTGTGCTCATTATAGGTCTGTGTCCAGAGCAAGTGGACACCAGGATACAGGGACCAGGGGCTGTCAGACCACAGGCTTCTTAGGTGGGATGTCCTCTTTCTGGTGGGCGTAAAGCAGAGGAGGCTGGCCAGGCTCCCTAGTGAAGTAGGGTGGAGATGGGACAGAGATTAGAGGCTGTTAGTGCCGTGCTCCCCGTGGCAGGGGAGGGGCAAGGGGACACTGAGGACTGACCCTGGTGCCCTCCAGGGCTATGCTGCTCACCTCCCCATCCACAGGGGTGATCCTGTACATCCTGCTGGTGGGCTACCCACCTTTCTGGGATGAGGACCAGCACAAGCTGTACCAGCAGATCAAGGCTGGGGCCTATGATGTGAGTGGGTGCCGGTGTGGAGGGTGGGGACTGCCACACCCCGGGTCTCCCCTCCTCCTCATGGCCTCTGCCCGGGGAGGGGCTTCATTCAGCCTTGCCCCATGCACTACTTCCTCCTGTAGTTCCCATCTCCCGAATGGGACACCGTTACTCCCGAAGCCAAAAACCTCATCAACCAGATGCTGACCATCAACCCTGCCAAGCGCATCACGGCCCACGAGGCCCTGAAGCATCCATGGGTCTGCGTAAGTCATCCTTGGCAACCTCTAGGGGCCAGTTCCTGGTGGGCATATCCAAGGCCCCCAAGATAGCTCTGTTCCTCATGTCTGACCACTCCCCTGGTCTGTGAAGGATAAGACTTGCACTTGGAAATAAGCTGGGGACTGCAGATGGGAACAAGTGATCTCTCATTGTCACGGTGGCTGGCAGCACTCAGTATGCGGGGTCCTAGAGTGCCACTACCCTGACCCAGCCTCCTAACTTCCTTCTCCCAACAGCAACGCTCCACAGTGGCCTCTATGATGCACAGACAAGAGACTGTGGAGTGCCTGAAGAAGTTCAATGCCAGGAGGAAGCTCAAGGTAGGCAGGCAAAGCCCGCATCCGCCTGTCCTCATGAACTAGGGCTGGATGTGGGACCTGGAGAAGAAGAGTAGGGAGGAGCCCCCAAATCTGCGCCCGTTTACAAATCCAGAGGACACCAGATGCTGTGACAGCTCAGAAGGTCAGACCTTGGCCCTGAGTGCAGAGGTGACCACTTCAGCATCCTGGGGACAGGAGTACTGGCCCACAGCAGTCCTGGTTCGCCCAGCAGGTTGGGGAGGCAGGTTCACGGGGCTGATCCTGATCCTTGCTGTCCAGTCAAGGCCAGGGATGGGCCTAGGAACCATTGCTTGATTGAGTTTCCCCAATGCCCCAAGGATAGCCCTGACTTCCCTGGGCCAGAGGAGCAGTCATGGCAGCAGGCCTTCCTGGCCATGCCCACTTCTCAGGAGTCTTGATGCTGTGATTTGTGGGTAGTGTGAGCTTTAACTGTGGACATGGTGACTTGCTTCTGTGCAGCTGCTAGGTTCTGGAACTCTTACTTCTCTGGAAGGTTGGTGTGTGTGTGTGTTTGTGTGTGTGCGTGCGCATACATGTGTGTGCGATCTTCTGGCTTAAGGACAGCAGGACCCAGAAACTAACAGGGTTTCTCTGCCTCTGTTTCTCCGTAGGGAGCCATCCTCACCACTATGTTGGCCACACGGAATTTCTCAGGTGAGACACTCTTCTCCAAGGAGGACCGTGCTTCTGAGCCACCCTCGTTCTACAGAAAGCTCCCTCCTTCCTCACCAGCCCTCAGTCCCATTCCTCCAGGCTGGTGGAGGCCCAGGTTCTGTCCTCACCTCTGAGACCCACTTCCTAGAAGGCCTTCTGGCTTCCCTCATTGGGTAGCTACTGAGGTCTGCTACGCCCCAGTCCCGCCTCCTCCTTGTTGTTGGGTCTGTGTCCCTCACCTGACACCCCAGTGTCTGTGTTGCCAACACCTGGCCTGCCACCTGTATCCGTCCAAGCATCTGTTGGGCAGCCCTGTGGCCTCCTTGTCCTCAGCACTCGAAGCATCGTGTTGTGTGTGGGAGACAGCTGAAGGCGGGTGGGTGAGATTGAGGTCTGCGCACAGGGAAACCTCATCAGTTCTGGACAGGCTATATACCCTGGTTGTTCAGGGTGGGTGATGGGAAAATGAAGTCTCAAGGGTCTGTTAGAGACCCCTGGGGCCCACCTGGGGAGACAGTGTTGGCCCTAGTGCCCGGACAGCTATGTCTGTGGCTTCTTCGTCGTCTGACACTAAGTGTGCGAGCGTTCATGGTCGTCTCTCCTTGTCCGTCTGCATCTGGTACCCTGCCTCCTGTTACTTTGCTGTGATGCTGTACTGCCGGGAATGGGCACACGGTCACACCAACACTAATGGGACTGTCCTGTCTGCTGTGTGCCCTGCATGCCCCACCGGGCACGAGAAGCCCCGCTGGGGTGTTCTAAGGAGAAAGGAGGCAAATGCTTTTCCGTGTCTATCGGCCCAATCTTGTTCCACTTTCCTGAGAAAGGGATTCTGGAGCCATCCCCCACCTAAACTTTAACTCTAATCTTCTTCTGCTTCCTTTGTCTCTCTTCTTTCCTCTCCTCGCCCCATCCCGTCTGTGTCCGCCCCCTTCCCCCCCTCGTCTCTAACCTGGTGCTAACAGTGGGCAGACAGACCACCGCTCCGGCCACAATGTCCACCGCGGCCTCCGGCACCACCATGGGGCTGGTGGAACAAGGTAGATGTGTCTTGCCCAGTGTCCACCTGCTCCTGCCCATCCCTCCTGTTGGCATGCAGCCCCCCTGCTGCACGCAGCCACTGGCCAGGCCCTCCAGAGCCTCCCCAGAGGCTGGCAGCCCCCTGGGAGCTCTGCCCCTGCCACAGTCACACCCCAGTAGAGGCCCCACCCTGAGCCATAAGGCTGCCCCTCGCTCCTGTCTCGTCTCATTGTAAGAGAAGCGGCTACACCAAACCCCAGATGCATTTGGCTGAGACCCTCAGGCCCTGGCCTCTGGGAGTCTGGAGACCCAATTCAGAATGACCCTGACCTCACAGGAAGCCACTGAACCTGCTGCTGGAGGGTCTCAGTCCTGGAGGGGGAGCCCTTAGATCAGGGTTAGGGAGGTAAGGATATCCCAAGGAGCTGTAGGTCCCAAGGTCAGTTCTTCCCTTGGGACAGATGGATCTGGTGGTCTGTGCTATGGAGTTCCTCAGAGTGAATGTGGGGAAGATGGCAGTGTCTGGGACTGAAGGTTCCTTTCTGAAGTCCCTTCTTACTTGGTCTCAAATCCCCTGAGGGAGGAGGTGGCCTCTGACAACCTGCTCATTTGGATGGCGTGGGACCCTCTGAGGACTAAGTAACCCTGAGGCCTCATCATGGGTTCCACAGCCACCATCCAGACTGGCACACTAGAGCAACACACAAGCTCAGCCAAGCTTCAGTCCCCCGCCTCCCCCCAGCTGAGGGCACAGCACAGGTTTCATAGTCCAGCCCTTTCCACATGCCTGCCTGGGTCCACTTCACAACGCCCCCAGAGCCACAGCAACGCTTTGCCAACTGGAGGACCCTTCTGTTGGGGGATGCTCAGGTCATCCTAGGAGGCCCGGGCCCAGTGTAGATGGCCCCAAGTCCATTTTATAGCCTTTTTTGAAGCCTGCGAGGGGCTAGGTTCATTAAAAAAGAAAAAAAGATGAAGCTAGTGGCTGCCGGGGAGGCCCTGTTGCCAGGGGACCGTGGTGTGAGACAGGTCACCTCTGAGCCATGCTCTGCCCAAGACTCCTGCTGCAATGCTCGCCCGCCTGCAAGTGAGCGAGGGCAACCTTGCATGAGGCTGCCTGCATGTTGTGGCTCTGCCCCAGGTGCTGAGGGTCACTCTGCTCTGGAGGGAGGTCAGTGCATGTCCACAGAGCTCAGCATGGCCGTCCATAGTGACTAGATAGTGGGTGAGGCAGAGATGAAGGTCCCGTCTACTGTGTCAGGTTGGCCCAACCACACACACACTAAGGACACATGTTGGGGGTCTCCCCTCTCCATGTCTCTGCCAGACCTTCCAGTGTGGCAGAGAACCTTAGACAGCGCGAAGACCCTTGCTGTAGAGCGTGTTGTAGTTTGGCTTCCACCCTTCCCCCCACATTGAGTGGATATGTGCCTCGTGACTGTCAGGCTGACTGTGGCTTGGGAGTAATTGCTTGACCTGAGGCCTGGGAATGGAAAATGCCCTCCTGCATAGGAGGAACAGGCCTGAAGAGCCCAGGCTCTGGGTGTCTGGAACCCTATGGTAGTTCAGTCCACTTTTTGGCTCCGGCTGCACCTACTAAATTCTTTTTGCTTGAGACACCCCAAAAGTGGCTCCTCTGCCTTGGAACTGTGTGTGGTGCGAGTGTGTGCACAGGTCCCTGGCTGCAGTGAATCAGAGTCCAGGACAGGTGCGAAAGAGTCTCCAGGAGGCATACGGCCAGGGCTAATGCAGTCAAGGAGGCTGGGTCATGCACCCCATGCAGTGTCTGGAGCACTCTGGGTTCCTGCTGAGAGGAGCAGGAAGGATGCTGAAATCCACTGATGCTGGTTGGCCTGGGTTTTCTAGGCCTGAGAAAACTCACCCGGGTCCAAGTTGGTGATAGTTGTAGCATGTCCATCTCCAAATAAGCCCTGTTCTCTTCCCACAATTAACTTAATATCCAGTAGCATAGCTTGGAACTGTGATTTTGATAGACTTGGGGACTTAAATGGAACCCCTCTAAGATCAAGACAGTTCTGGAGTCTCTGAGTGCCTAACCCTCCAAGGATGTCTGAGGGGTACCGCGACACCACAACGGAATCTCAGACCAATGCTGACTGTTACTGCTTTCAGCTCAGAGTCCGCCAGGAGATATGCTGCGTTGGCTGTGTGGTCTGCTGGTGGGTAGGGTCAATCTTCTGCAAACTGCCTGTTGAAATTTTCACACCTTAGAAATGTTCCTCTTCCCTTGCTGCCCAGAAAGCCATAACAAGTATCCTCAAGACAGGACTGTTTTACTTCCTTGGGCTCCAGGGAGGACCCTGCTCTCCAGTGGGGAGCAGATATCAGACCACAGACATAGCAGTAGAAGAGAGCCCGTGTTGCTGGTGCAGTGCCAATGTCTCTAAGGATGAGCCATGTGGGAGGATGGAGAGGAGAAGGGGCAGCACCTGCAGACAAACAGGAGGGCTATGCCAGGGCAAACTGGCCAGTGTCTAACTCTGGGAGAGTCTAGCCACAGTGTCAGCGGTACTTCACATTCCACTCTGTAGAGACATGGGAAGTCAGCTCTAGGAACCCTCCTTGGAGCTACCTTGGGATGGAGGAGAGTTGAGAGGGTCCCAGGCCTGAAGATGATCTGTAAGGGGCAGGGTCATTTCCAAGAGCCCTGCTTGTAACAGAACTTTTGAGACAAGTACCAAAACCTCTGAGCAGGGAAAGCTTGGGAAACCAGTGCCCTCTGGGTTCCAAGATAGTATGCGGCTTCAGGTAGCCGTGTCCCCATGCCCCAGCATAGAGAAAGCCTGGATGGGCTCAAGTTGCGTCATTTGGCTGCTGATGGAGGTGGTCAGCAGTGGAGCCTCGTTCTGGTCTCTGGAAAGAGTCACCCTCAGAGCTCTAGATGGATACAGAACCCTTACTCAGAATTCTTACTCAGAAAGGTGTGGCCTAGAAGTTTGCATTTCTGATCACGACAGTGACTTTGCTGCAGAGACAGAAGACTGTATTCGACTGTGTTCCGGCCCTAAGACTAAACATGCTGCCCCCATGTCCCTACCAGGTCTGCTGGAGGCAGCACAGCGTCCCCTAGTAGGCAGGGAAGCCTGAGCTCGGGTATGGTCAGCTAGTGTCTGGCTGCAGGGGATGGGAAAGGGCCCTGGGGACAAGGAGCCGTGTACCCCACCATGCTGTGCCATGCTAACCTGCTGTGTTGCCACACGGCCACTTGACTCTTCTTGGGGAGCACTGGGCCAGGACAGGCTGGCTTTGCTGCCCCGTGCGGGGCCTTTCTGAACCAACACAAATCTTGTTTTCTCTCTCTTCCTCTCTCCCTTCCTCACTCCCTCCTCTCCTCATCTTTCCCTTTCTGTAAGGTAAGCTGACTTCCTCTCTCGCTCTCAATTTTGGTTGTTTTAATTCTGCGATTAAAACTCTAAGTGCTGCTCTAGAGGCTGTAAGTGCCGGGAGTGAAGGGTGGGGCAAAGGTAGGACCAGCCTGAGCTTGAGGGGAGTGTCGGAACCAAGGGTTCCATCTGCTGAGCCCAGGTGTCTGCCAGGGCTTGTGGGCAAAGAGGCTGGTGTTGGCCACCGTGGTCAAAGCCACCAAGTGGTCTCGTGGCAAGAGCTGCTGGGGTCATGCAAGGGGAGGACAGGGAGGCCAAGCGGTGTAGCCCTGGTGCAGAGGTTTGTTGCCCATCAGAAGACGGAAGGGTGGGACTTGGGAGAAGCCCTTCGGTGTGACAGCTGCTTTGGGTCACCATCCTAGTGGGAACACAGGACTGCAGAGGGCAGGGCCAGGTTGAGCATGACTTTCCCTTTGCACCCTGATGCCTACCAATCCTGACCTGGCGCCGTCCTGGGGAGTGGGGGCAGGTCATCCTGCCAGCCTCTCAGGATGGCCTGAGAGGACGAGGAGGCTCCTGAGTGCCTTGCAAGGAGCTCCAGAATCACTGAAGATGCTGGGGGGCAGGGTGGGGGCAGCCGGGCTCAGCACCTGTGGAGGTTCTGCTGCTGCTAGGGCCAGGCCAGATGTCAAGGCCACACCTGCCTCTGGCCTCAGGCTGCTGGACCTTAGGTCCTGAGCTTCACTCCTGAAGGAAGGGGAAGGATCGGGGAGGGGCAGGGGCTACAGTGACCCTAGGCCCTAGGAACTCACGATCCCTCCTTCCTTCCCAATGCAGCAGCCAAGAGTTTACTCAACAAGAAAGCAGATGGAGTCAAGGTGAGGCACCAGCTGAGCCCTTTGTGGGTTACAGGGGAGGGTGCCAGAGCCTGCAGCTCTGCTGCTGACCCCAGGGTTTTCGCTTGAGAGGCTTGGCCGTGGCCGCACGGATACTGGGGCAGGGATGGCCCCCTTTTTTTTCCCTAGTGACTCTTCTCCCCTCTCTCCACAGCCACAGACAAACAGCACCAAAAACAGCTCGGCCATCACCAGCCCCAAAGGATCCCTCCCTCCTGCTGCCCTGGTACTGACCCCCGCCCCGCCTCATCTCACTGACAAAGAGGCCTTGCAAGGCAGGGTCTGGTGAGACTGTCTGTCTCTGACCAAATCAGTCCCACATGGAGACAGAACAGAATAGCATGGGATTGGGGTTTAAATCCCAGGAGGAGACGCAATGCTCAGAGGGCTCCAGATCAGGCAAGACTGCTTGGTGAGCCCTTCCCTGGGACCTTGAGATACGTAGATGCAGGAGAGAGATAGAGCTTCCCAGCTATGGTGACTTCTGGACCACCCTGCCTCAAGGAACTCTTGTGCAAGGCCATCAGGATGCCACTGAGGGGGAAGGCCAGTGGCCTGCTGTGGATCCCTGTCCTCTTCCTCGCCTTGTACATCTGGCTAATCTAGCTGGGACGGGGGGTGGGGGGGGGCTCAGACTGGGATCTTCAGGGGTTGTACCCTGGAGTATTGCATCCTGAGTCTAATAAGGAGCAGCAGGACCATGGTGCTGTGATGGGAGCTGTGTGGTTGAAGGAACAGTGGGCTTGTCCATCTGGGACTATTTTCATTAAAGCCATATACCATATTGGTCTGTGGATTACAGAGAAGAAAGGCCAAGGGTGTTCACGATACCTCTACCGTATTCCTTCTTGTCCCTTGAGAAGGCACTGGACCAACTCTGTCCTCTGTCCCCCTTGCCCTGGGTGACTTGTTGAGGTGAATGTCACATTCCGGGGATGTGCAGCTGTGTTCTCAGACACCAGCCTTCTGAGTTGTGGGTCATGGGGGCTGGAGTCTGCAGTGGTATGGTTGGTAACCCCCACAGGTCCCAGGCAGATGTTCCCTGTAGGAAATCGGGTTTTGCCAAATCAGGGGGAAACAAAAGAGATCCATCCTGGCAGGAGTCGGGGAGTTGCTCAGAGCAGTGAGGCTATGGCAGGAGGGTGCCAGGCGTCAGCTCACCTGGTGCCTGGGGTGGCTCACACCGGCCTCACAGCCAGCCCCACCTTGGACCCCGTCCATCCCATGTACCACCCCACCCCCACATTTCTAACCCTGTGCCCACTCCCACGCTGGGGCAGGAGGTGGGGAGAACTCCCAGAGCCCACACACATCTAGTTTCTCTCAGGCCCTGTGAGCTCCATCTCTTCTGGCCTCTGGCCTGGCAGATCTGCTGATTTCATCATGTTGAGCCTACTCTACACCCACCCAGGGCCATTGCTGACCGCCTGCTGCCTCCATCCCTACTGGACCATCTTGCTGACTGCCTGCCTCCTCCATCCCTGTCCCTCTGCTCTACGCTCTCTCTGGGCAGACCCTGGTTGCTGCCCGCTCCTCTGGCCCCCATCCTCTGCTTTCTTCTTTCTCACTCCCTCTCTCTTTCCTTCCTCTGTCTGCTGCCCTCTATAGGAGCCTCAAACCACCGTTATCCATAACCCAGTGGACGGGATTAAGGTACTGCCACCACCTCACTCCTCACCCTTTCCTTGGGCAGGAGGTGTGGGCCCAGGAGGAGGGTGTGGACGGTGATCTGGGAGGGGCATTTGTGCCTATGATAGAGAGCAGATGTGTAGTGACCTGACCCCAAAGGTAGGGCAGAGCCCACAAGCCTACCTGCCGGGGCCATGGCAGGACACAATGGCTCCGCTGACGAGAGCTCACACAGCCTCGAGAGCGCCACCTGCTGCAGGCCTTGGGGTCTGCTCCCCACCTTCACCCCCAGTGTGGCCCCAGTGCTTCCTGCTCCTCTCTGCTCCACCATCTGCTCCATCACACTGGCATCATCACCTGGGGCCGGGAGGGGCTGGCTTTCTGTGAGGTGGGGGAGATGGGCAGGTGTTGGAAACATTCGCATACAGCAACTGTACCGGGCTGGCAGGTCAGACATACCCAGGCTTAGGCTCCCCAATGATCTGACAAGGTGACACAGTGGGTAACCCACTTGCTTAGAGCAGGGTCTGCACCTGGTCCTTCTCCATGCCAAGAACCAAGGGCAGCGCTATTCCCACCTGAGTGACCGCTACCCTTTGGGCCCTCACATCAGGGGAGGTCATACTTCCCTCTGAGGGACTGCTAGTCAACCTTCGGGCCAGGTAAGGCCTGACCTTAAATTCGAAGGCCCTCAGTTTTATCCCAGAGCCATGTTCAGTCAGTGTCTGTAGCAAAGACCCGTGAGAGGTCTCTTTGGCTTCCTGGGGGCATGGAGGTGCTCAGACATCAGCCGTCACTTGAAGGTGGCAGAAGCTGGGCCTTGCTGAAGTTCCGGGCCTAGAAGGGCAGTGGCATTAGGAGACTCATCTCTTCTGGGGGAAGGTATCCCTCACTTAAAAGCTGCTAACCACATCTGCCCACTGCCCAGGGTTCGAGGCCTTCTATCACTAAAAGTCAGTCAAGCCCCATGTTTTTCCATCTTTGGATGCCAAAAGGTTTGCTCTCAGAGTCAGCTGCGTGTTCAGAGTCTCTTGGGGAAAGTGCTGTTGGAAATGTGGTGGCCTGCAGGCGACAGAATGAGCCCTGGGGTGAGGGCCCTCCTGCGAACACACACAACTAGAACTTTCTTCCCAGCCACTGGGAGGGTCTTTCCCCGGCTGACTCCACCATTGGAGGCGTCCTGCCTGTCCTTGACCACATCTTGACTGCTGTTTCTCTGTTTCCTCAGGAGTCTTCTGACAGCACCAACACAACCATAGAGGATGAAGATGCCAAAGGTACCTTCACGGAGGCCTCACCTGCTCATGCTGGGCTATGGTGTTGGCAGGGGGTGGGGCCTTCTACAGCATCTTTGGTCCTGCTGTGCAGGACACAGTACAATGGTTCAGGGGCCTGCCTGGCCTGAGACAGGTGTGAGTCAGGGCTTACCTGGTGTGAGTCAAAGCATGTGTGGGACATCATGGCAAGGGTAGCTCAGGCATAGTGCACATGAGAGGAAGCCACAGTTCTCCATTCTAGGAGCCGGGAACCCGGTTCTCACAGGGTATGAAGTGTGTGGGTAATATTGGATCAAGATACTATTCTTCTCTTAAATTTCCTAAACTTTGGCTCTGTCCATCTTGCCCATGAGTGGCCAGGTGGCTGAAGTGTTGTCTCATTTGATGGCTCAGGCGCTCCCTCTTGAGGTGGGCTTCTGTGCCACACCCTGAGCCCTGCCAGTGATGTTTGTTCTCACAGATGTCCCTAGAACACCAGCTATCAGTGAGTTGCCTCCCAGCCTCTCATACTTTCTCTGCCCTCCTGGAAAGAGGCCTGACAACTCCAGGCTGTCCATGGAGTCCTGGCCTGCCCTTAGGGTGGTCAGAGTTTACCCATTTGCTCCGACTCAGCTACGATGCTGTCCCTGAGTGTCCTCCACACTCCAGAATGGACATTAGCACAGGACATTGGTCCTTGAACCTAGGAGCACCCATTGCTGAAGCAGGCCCCAGGGTCAGCAGCAGGGATGCTACCAATACTTCTGTGTCAAAGGCTCTGTCCTTGAGCTGGCCAGTGGGACACTGAGCTGTGAGGGAGGTGGCTGGGTCTCAAGCTTGCAAGGGGACAGGAGCAGCAGGCCAACAGCAGCTGAGGCTGGGAGTTAAAGCAGAAGCCAAGGTTAGAGGAAGTCTCAGGAATGAAGGGCAGGGCCACTCTTACCTCAGCCATGTACCAGAGCTGGGATGCAGCCAGGACAGTTCCCAAGGCCACCCTGCTCAGTGAGGACCACTCTAAAATCCGAGCCTAATCTTTGCAGGGCCTGGCAGGGGCCCACACCTGTGGGTGTCCCCAAGAGTGACCTCCTTACCTCTGTGCCCTGGGTCCCCAGCAGCACAGCGGCCTGGGATTCTACAGTGTAACCTTTTCAGCTTCCATGTGCCTCTTGGCCCTTTCTGCTACCTTCTGTCCTGAGTGTCTACCATCCACTGCCTGCTTCTGTTCTGCCTCAGCCCCCAGGGTCCCTGATGTCCTGAGCTTGGTGAGGAGGGGCTCAGGAGCCCCAGAAGCCGAGGGCCCCCTGCCCTGCCCATCTCCAGTTCCCATTAGTCCCCTTCCAGCCCCGTGTAAGTAGCCTGGGCCCCGCTGCTGTGGGGATGACTTTGAAGGCCTGGCAACTCAAGAGCTAAGGACTGGACAGGCCTGGATTCCTGGTTCCAGCTCTACCCTCACACAGCCCCCAGATTGGGGCTCCCCGTGGCTGCCTCTGTCCAACCAGAGACCTCTAATGGTCTATGGAGATGCTATCATAGCAAACTTTCCTGCTCATGCCACCAGATGGTCCCTGAAGGATGTGGCCTTGACTTCTAGGCCTCCAGGGCCCACCCAAACTCCCCCTACCCCATCTCTGGAGGCTTCTTGCTTCTGAGACTGGCACCGAATAGGAAGCCAAGTCCCAGATCCCAGTCTGGTGAGAACAGGGATCCTTCTTGCCTGTGTCCTGTCAATTCTGTCGTCCCCTCAGATGTCTGCCTGCCTGTGTTCATGTGTGTCTGTTCCACCCCAGCCCCCAGGATTTCTGACATCCTGAACTCAGTGAGAAGGGGCTGTGGAACCCCAGAAGCCGAGGGCCCCCTATCAGTGGGGCCCCCACCCTGCTTGTCTCCGGGTCTCCTAGGCCCCCTGTCCACCCCGTGTAAGTAGTAGTCCCCAGGCTTGCTGCCTCTGCTACCCAGGGCTCACTGAGAATGGCCAGCGCTCAGCTTCCTGCACCTGCAATGCACGGCCAAGCTCTCCCGGGCCAGGATGCCTGATGGGTATCCAGTCTGACTGGCCTTATTCAAGGCACATGCGATAACACACCTGGGCAGCTACCTGGCTTCTCCTTCCGGGCCCAGAGCCTCTGACTCATCTCCTTCCCCTACTCCTTCCCTGCACGCTGCTCACCTCACCTCATCCTAGGCCTACCCCTGATTAACAATTAGCTGGGGTCCCTCAGGCCATCTCTGCCAAGAATTTTCTAGCCATTCACGCCCTACTCTGCCCTAGTCACAGGGCCGCAGAGCATGCCTCCAGAGCAGCCCCTGATTCTTAATGTACCCTGTCCCTGAATATCATTCACTAACCAAGGCAGGGGAGGTCAAGGAAGGTGTCAGAATGGGAGCCTCAACCAGGGCCTTGTAGGTAAGGAGACATTCAAAAGAGAAGCCTGGCTTTCCACTGGCCTGGGTTACCCACAGGGACCCAAACAGTGCCTCCTTCTGAACATCCCTCCTCCCCTCCATCCAGTCCTCTACCCACCTGTCAAGTACTTCTCAAAGGTCAGTCACTTGCAGCGACAGCCTCTGGTTTCTTGGGGGCCAGGGTGCCTGTCCTTGGAGGGTATCCTCTGCCCTCAGCAGCTCCCAGATAAGCACACTAGAATGGACAAATGCATCTGCATTCCCCATGTCTCCTTCCACAACATTTATGTCCCCCACACCCCGCTCTGCCCTCCCTGACCCCTGTGTCCCTCTGGCCTCCCCTACTATCTGGCTTGGCTCTCTGTAGGGTTCTTTCCTGCATGTCCCTCCTGCCTGTGTTCATGTGTGTCTGTTCTGCCCCAGCCCCCAGGATCTCTGACATCCTCAACTCAGTGAGGCGGGGCTCAGGGACCCCAGAAGCTGAGGGTCTCCCACCCTGCCCATCTCCGAGTCTCCCTGGCCCCTTGCCCACCCCATGTAAGTAGCACTTTAAGTGGCCCTGACAGCTCCATGGAGGGGCAAGCCCCCATTGTGGTACATGGCCAGCCAGCCTGACTCTGGGAATAACCCAGCTGGTGGAGAAATGGGGGGCACAGCATCTGTCAGGTCTCAGGAAACCGTGTCAAAGTACGTGAAAAAAAAAAAGCAGCGGGTCTCAGTAAATACAGATTATGGACATAAAGCGTGTGTGTTTGCGTGTGAGCTCATGGGTGGGAAAGCTCCCAAAACACTTCACTGACCTGGAGTCTTTGCTACCATGCAGCCACCACTTTCTGATAGGCGGTGAGTAGGTGCCCACCAGTGCCAGAGGGACCCTGAGAAAGGGCTGCCTGGGCGAGAGTAGACCGTCCTGGGCAAGATGACAGGAAAAGAAACTCCTGGGAATTCTGGCATGCCAGGCTGGACGTTGCAGGGGGATGGGGTGCAAGCAGGGCTAAGGACGAGTTAGGGAGAGAAAGCGTAGGCAGGTGTCTCTTCGGCTTGTCTGTCGACTGTCTGCCAGTATCACTTACAGGGATGGATGACATCCAGGGCTGCAGCCACCGCTGCCCCCGCCTCCGGGGAGACACGGGGCTGGGGGTGGCGCTGAGATGTTTTCAGAGAAGAGGCTGCTGGGCCAGGGCCTCGGCATGGCAGGGCAGTGGCTGGGTGAGTAGCTGTGAGAGGTGGGCTTGGGGCATCCTACCCCATCGCCTCTGCCTGTTAGGCCAGAGTGAGGGGATGTTGCAGGTGGCCAGAGCAGAGAGGCAGTCACAGTGGCCCCACAAGGGTGGGCATTCACGGTTTGCAGGTTCAGAGGGATAAGGGACAGCCTCTGGAGGGTGCGAACCCCCTAGAGTGTTACATGGCCAGCTGAGAGAATCAGAGGTGAGTTGTGAGGCACACAGGCAGCCGGGTTGTTTCTGGTGATGGGGTGAGGGGGACAGGGTTGGGGATGGATAGCAGCTGGTACTCCCAAAGCATGGAGGGGATGCTCTCCACTGGTGGATGCAAGACAGCTCCTGGCCAGCACTTGGGTGCTCTCTCATTTGATCTCAAGGGCCACGCTCTTTTTGTTTGGGATCACCCTGGAACATGATCTGCCATTGGAGGGTCTGTGCAATGACCAGGGGCTGCTCTAAGGCCAGATCTCTGGGGAGCCACCAAGTGACCTGGTCATTTCTGAGGCTATGACACTGATCTGCCCTTGTGAGGTCTACGCTGAGCTTGCCTAAGAAAAGGGCTCCTTCATGAGGGGGCTGTGAGAATGACTGGATGGTGGCATCTGGTCATCCTGTGAGGGGCTGGGCAGAAGAAAAAAGAGATGTGCAGGAAAATGCAGGGAAATATGGGTGAGTTCAGTGGTGTTGGGCCCCCTTTCCTGGGAGGGTCACAATCTACCTCCTGGGTTACAGGTTCCCATCAATCCTCTTCTGGCTCAAACCCTCCCCACCCCTTGCTCCCTGTACCCCAGGCCTGCCTCACTACCTAACCAGGGATTACACAGGATTCAGGCTGATCCCAGCTGATCTCCACTCAGCTGCCCTGCCTGCCAGCTGTGAGGGTGGGTTCCTTGGGCCAGTGACAGGGACATAAATCTTCACTGGTCCAACCCAGATGCTTGGCTTCTCACAGAAGAGCTGTGGACAGAGTGAGTCTCCCACACTGGGCCCCAGCCAAACCCTGCCTGCTCTCTCTCTGGTTCTTCCCTGGACTTGCGGGGTATGGCAGCCGCTTGTCCCTGGTCTCAGCTCTCCGCCTGGGTTATCCCTGTATGCAGGGCTTCTTGGTCCCTCTCTCATGTTTGGTTTCTACTGGTGTCTGGGCAGCAGCCATTCTGCAGGTCGGGAGGAGTCATAGGCAGCCTTGGCTTCCCTAACTCTCAAGTGGGCTAGTGGCTCTGACAAGAAAGCCGTTCCCAGCACATTCTGCCTGGTGTTGTGATCATTGATCTCCTAGTTAATTTAGCATTGACTCCCACAGCCTAACTTCATTAAACAGAAAGTTAATCCACTTACCACAGTGGAAGGTAGGATTAAAGCATGCTTGAAACCAAGTGGTGTGTTACTTAGTTCTAGCCATTTTTGCCGTGTGCTGAGGGACTCCTGTAGAGGAACGGGGCAGCTGAATCTATTAAAAGGGTTTAACAAGCCCCAGGGGGTACTTGGGACATGTGGGGTGCAGAGTGGAAGCCTGGTTTGGGGGAAGAAACTGGCTGCAAATGTAGAAGCCAGGCCAGAAGCCTGAGACATCTCCAGAAGGTGAAAAGTGAGGGGGCGTGAGGTGCTGAGGACCTTGACCACTGGGAAGAGCAGGTGCTGCTTTAGGGACTGAGGTATCAGATGCTGCCCTGGGACCTACAAGGTAAGAACAAGAAGAGCCGCTTCGTGTTTTGGACAGAGCCTCGGTACTCTTGCAGAATGGGGTACATGGGTGTGTGGTTAGGAATGGAAATAGGAAGAAAAGGAACTCATAGCCCACTGCCTAGAGTCAGCATTCCAGGGTGACCTTGTTGTTAGAGGGGGTGGGCAAATGGTGATGACCTTACCCTGAGTTCAAATGCTGATATGATTTAGACTCAAGAATAGGGAAGAAACTAGAACAAGACAGCAGAAGGGGAGCTGGATTAGCACAGGACATTTTTCCAAGATGGGGGAATCCCCTGGGTCCACATGCATATACCTGCACATGCTCACACAGATGCATACCGACAGCACAAGGACACTTACCACACATTTCACGAACAAATGCGTATGCATGCATACATGCATACGTCTACACAATAGTCATATTGACACTCATGTGTGCTTTCTCATGCAATGCAAATATTCACACTCGTGACCTGAATGCACACATATACATTGTGCTGTGGGTTCTATATACATTCCATATGTTCTTACATAAGTGTCCCCAAGTCCCCAAGGCACCATCCGGCAACTTCTGCTGTCAGTGTCTAGGACGTCAGAGTAATCACAGCTCATATAGTCACAAGGGGATGCAGGTGCCCTTTTGCTGGTACGTACACGGCATACGTGGGCTTCTTTTGTTGTGGATTCTGTCCGCCTTTAGGGCACCTGATGAGTTAGGCACCTAGAAACCCACTGGTACTGGAAGCCCTGCCACAGGGTTCTTCTCTGTGCTTTCATGTTTTAAATTCTTCATGGTTAAAATAAGATTCACCTGGAGAAGCGATGAAACCGAGGGTTGCAAACACTAAGGGTGGGTTTTGCTAGGACAGCACATGGCCCAGGGCTACAAACAGGCTAGAGGCTGGGAAACTGAATAGAGTAATGAGAGACAACTTGATCCTTCTGAAGAGTCCCAGGCCATCCTGTCCTTCAGCCTTTGCTCAAAAGCTACCCCCACTCCCACCCCCACTCATCAGGGAACCCTGAAGCCTATGACCATACTTAGAGTTGTTGGAGGAAGGAGTCATTAAGTGAACAAGGCATTGTTAGAAGATGAGGCAGAAGAACAGACGAGGGGAGAGGCTGAATGGGAGTCCAGCAGTTGTGGCTAGAGGGTGCTGGGGCGTGGCAATGGGGTGGGTTATGGGCAGGCTTATTCCCCCTTTGTGAATTTTTTAGGCATTTTCTAATATGGATAGGGTATTTGTTTCTTAAAAATACTGTATTTGATAAGAAGCTACTGCATGTGGAAACGAGGAAGCCATTGGTGGCACAGGGGGGCCCAGTGTGATTGAGACAATTTGGATACAGGTGCCAAAGCCTATAAGTCCTGTCTGAAGAGGGCAGACCTGAGCAAGGGTGGGAGCAGCAAGGTGGATCCTCCAAGGCCCCTTACCTGGGCTCTGCTAGAAGTGGGGGTATCCAAGGGTATGCCAGGCTAGTGCCCAGTGGTCATCCCTCTTTTTTCCCTGCAGCCCGGAAGCAGGAGATCATCAAGACCACAGAGCAGCTCATTGAGGCAGTCAACAACGGCGACTTTGAGGCCTATGCGTGAGTCTCCGGGGGGGTTGGGGTGGGGGGTTGTGGAGGGCGAGGATGGAGGATGGGGCCCCTCCTCACTTGGGTTTGCCCCCCAGGAAAATCTGTGACCCAGGCCTGACCTCATTTGAGCCTGAAGCTCTGGGCAACCTAGTCGAAGGGATGGATTTCCACAGATTCTACTTCGAGAACCGTGAGTGAGGAAGTTGGGGTGGCCGTGTCAGGGAGACACCATCAGGATGGTCCCTTAACCCCTCAGCCAGTAGCTGGGGCTGCCAGTTCAGAATACTTGCTTGTCCACAGTGCTGGCCAAGAACAGCAAGCCGATCCACACCACCATCCTGAACCCGCACGTGCACGTCATTGGTGAGGATGCAGCCTGTATCGCCTACATCCGCCTCACACAGTACATTGATGGCCAGGGCCGGCCCCGTACCAGCCAGTCTGAAGAGACCCGCGTGTGGCACCGCCGTGATGGCAAGTGGCAGAACGTACATTTCCACTGCTCGGGCGCACCAGTGGCCCCACTGCAGTGAGGTGAGTTCCTGGGGTGTGGCCAGAGAGTGTGTGGGGTACCCTGACAGCTGAGCTGATGGAGCTTGGTCAGGGATGGAGTCAGGGATCAGGGTGGGGCCCGAACTCTACTCAAGTATTAGCAGGCATGGTAGGGGATGCCTAGGAAGCGGGTGAAGGTAGCAACAGCCTCTATTGGCAGGCCCCTTTCTGAAAGGACACTAACTTGATGGCTTCCTGCCAGGACCTTTTCCAAGTAGCAAAGGCTTGGGTCCTTAGGGTGGGGACGATGTCCTGAGGAAAGTGACCTGCCCCCCTGTTTCAGAGCTGCGCCTGGTTTCACCGGACAGAGTTGGTGTTTGGAGCCCAGCCGCCCTCGGGCGCACGGCCTGCCTGTCGCATGTTTGTGTCTGCCTCGTCCCCTCCCCTGGTGCCTGTGTCTGCAGAAAAACAAGACCAGATGTGATTTGTTTTTAAAAATAAGATGATGACAACGACAACCACATGCAAAAAAAAAAAAAAAAAAAAAAAAAAAAAAAAAAAAGAAAAAAAAAAAAAAAAAAAAAAAAAAAAGAAAAAGAAAAAGAAAAAAAATTGGCATCGGATGAAATGGGGGAAAAAAAACTAAAGAAAGGAAAAAAGCTGTAAAAATCTGGCATTTGTGGGGCCACCCCCCCGCCCAAGCTCCACATGCGTCTGTTGCGCTCCTGGCTTTGGGGACCCTCAGGGCGTGAATGTGCCCATGCTGACCGTGTTAGTCTGTAGGTATCGCACTCACCCCGCACCTTGGGGTCTGCATCCTTCCATCCTTCCTCTCATGCATGGGCCCCCACATGCTAACCTGGCTGTTGTGGTGTCAGGTGTCTTGGGAAGGGCTGGGGGCTGCCTCCTTTCCTGCTAGTTGTGCCTGAGAGTTGCTGCTGTTCCTGCTTTCCCTACCGTCCCTCATCCCGTGAAGGGCTGGGTGGGTGCTCCTCTAGCCAAGGACCTACCTTTGCCCCATGGAGTGTGTGGGAGAAGTCCTCAAGGTCATCAGAGAAGAACTTGGGCTGTCAGCTCTGGTTCTTTGGGGAGGGAAGCATGGAGGTACCATATCTTGCCTCCAGGCCTCCTGCCTGGCAAGGGCTGGTTAAGAAGGCATGCAGTGCCAACCGCCTAGCTATGAAGAAAGGACTGGGCCAGAGGATGGCCTCCTTCCTGTTTGGGGCACTTGTCCCTTCCCTGCCACCAGCAACAAAGCAACAGTGGCCCACTCCTGGTCTGGGCAGTTCCTTTCTGTGAAGTTGGCAGCAAACCCTCCCAAGGGCTGAGGACCTGAAATACTGGGCGGATGCTGGGAACAAGCCAGGCTGCATCTGGGGTGTTTGCCCATTGAGCCTGGAGTCTGGGTGCTCGGTCTTGGTTGAATGATACAGAATGTGGTAAGGAAGGGCCAGAAGGTGGGGGTTAGGCTCTGGGGCAAGGCAGGTCCGCATAGGTGTTTGATGAAGTAGACATTGCTTTCCTAACCTGGGCCTTGAGCAGAAGCCAGAGCATGAGCCAGCCAAAGGCACATGGAAGGGCAGAGGCTGTGTTGTGTGAAGCCCTTCCAGGGGGCCAGAGACAGCCTGGAGAGAAGGCAGGCTGGGGGTAGAGATTTGTGGGGCCTAGATACTGGTGGGTGGAGGAAGGGTCCATTAGGACAGTGTGACACCTCCAGGGCCCAGTGGTGCTCCTAGGTGCCAGCTGCCTATTGTGGGTGGCCCTGGCCCTTGGTGACCGGGAGGATCACAAGGCTAGAAGCACTGTGGAGTCAGGCCAGGGAGAAAGGTATGAAGCCAGGTTGAGTGGGGGTGGTGAGGAGCTTTGATTGAAATAGTCCAAGGGCCTCCACCCCAGTGCTGCCCACTCTAAGTCCACATCATTTTCAACCAGGATTTTCTTTATCTTCTATTTCAAATCAAGCCAGGGGAGGGGCCTGAAGTGGGGAATGGGACACAGGATCCTAAACTCCAAGGGGACTGTCCACCTACAGACACTCAGTGGATACCACCTTTCATCCACACTGTGCCCAGGACAGCTGTCTCCTACCCATGGACACAGGGTAAACACCTGCCAGGCTCCACTTGGTGGCCTGAGGCCATGGAGTGGCCCTGTGACCAGCCACCCTGGCATCCTGGGGTCTCCTTTCCTCTCCCCACCCACCTTGTTATCTCCACAAAGCTGCCTGTCTGGGATTATTTGGGGATTTTTTTTTCCTGGGGGACAATTCTTTTGCATGACCCTCTAAAGAGCAGATCACTCCTGCTCTGCTGGCTAGGTGTTCGCGGGTGGTGGTGTTGGCCGCCAGCCAGTGCTGCAGAGTGTCGCTGCCTGCAGTACTGGTGGCCCTCCCTCTTCTCTTTTTGCTGAGTTCCATTGTCTTTTCTTTCTGAGCCTTGTAGGTGTACAAAACTTATTCTTCTTTTGTTCTGTCTCGGGAAACTGCAAATAAAAAAACAAAACAAAAAAAAAGGACCATCTGCTTAAAGTTACAGCTGAGTGCTTTATATTGGGCCCTGTCAATTCCCTGCTTGACCAAACAGACCCACCGCTTCCAAGCCTAGACGTGGTCAGGGTGGAAGGGCAGGGGTTCCTAAGTGATCAATAAGACATAGCCTTCTCTTTATTCCTTAGTGTTTCCAGCCCCAAAGCCCTCTCCTTGCCCATCATCCCAGTCACCAGAGGGGTGGCCATGGCAGTCACTGTGCAGGGGCCCCAGGTCCAAGATTCAAGTGTCCTCTTGAGTTCCTTTAATGACCTTCCTGTTCGATATGCTGATTGTTGTAGACATTAAGTCATGTGTTAAGTAACCCCCAACTCTGTTCCCATGGGTTATGCGTACAGCACGGCATTTGCATAGTAGCCATTATGGGTAGTGTCAAGAGGCTTCACAGAGAGGCTCAACCTGGAGCCCAAGTTAGAGATTTTTTTTTCCGGGGACAGAGGAGGGTTGGTTTTTCGAGACAGGGTTTCTCTGTATTGCTTTGGAGGTTGTCCTGGAACTCACAGAGATCCACCTGTCTCTGCCTTCTGAGTGCTAATATTAAAGGTGCACACCACCAACACCTGGCTCCAAGTCAGGGATCTTAACCAAAAGCAAAGGGACTCCAAGAGTCAGGACAAAGACAGCCAAGACCATGGCCAGGTGCTAGGGTCCCTGGGCCAACTTTGTCCTGGCTGCAAAGCAGAGAGTTTCCCTCCCCAGGCTTTCCCCTGCACCTCCAGCCTAAGCATAGGGCAAATCTTTCCCTGTAGTCTGTGTTTGGTCCTGTCCTGTCTTCAAGCTTTGCTCAAATCTTCAAAGATGAGCCCTTATACCTCCAGGCTCAAGGGGTCCAGAACTGGCCACCACTCACAACTGCCTCTTCCATCTTAAGCATTATTTTTGTTATCATCATAAGCATTTGTTTCTAAACACCCACACTTTATAAAGGAGGCCATTGATGTTTACCTCGTGGTCTCTATGGGTGTAGCCCCCAAAGTGAGGTACCCTTAGGTATACGGGCAGGCCGGCAGTAGGTCTTTAGAGCTAATACAAAGAATCTAGGCCAGTGTCCACAGGTGCAGCAGCAATGGGCCCTCTATCTAGGGTTCCAGTCACCTATCAGCTGTAATCGGAGGAGTGTTTCCAGGCCAGACCTCCCTCAGGAAGGCCACAAGCTGCCTGGCATGAACCTCCAGCATGCATTATTCCTGAGGCCTTTCTGTGGATGATGGACAGCTGGGCAGTTCTGACAAGGTTTTCAAGGCAGTATCCAGGATTAACCATCCGTATGGGGCTGAGTACTACAGGTGAGAAGGACACTCTTGAGGAGCATTTCATTCATCATTTTAAATAGCACTTACTTGAGCAAAGTTCCTTTAGGCATGTCACCCCAAGGAGGTTCAGGTTACTCTGAACTCTACCAGGTCCACAGATCAGGAAAAGGTGGCCACTGGCTTCAAGGCTGCTTACCCAAGCCAGGCAGAAGGGTCTCTGACAAGGACATCAAGTACAAGTTGAAAGCAGGCCTAGTTGACCTGCTGAGGCAGAGGCTATAGATACCTCAGGCCACTAATTGCTAGCCACTGGGGCCATTTCAAAACTCAAAACCATACTCCAGATTGAATATTCCCATCCTGACCCTCACAAGTTAGCTACTTAGCTGTGCACCTCCTCCCTAGGGTCAGGAGTACCCAAAGATCCAGAAAAGCTAGGTGGTTTGGAGCCAGCCTGAGGCAAATGGGAACCTTGGGCAAAATAAAGCCTCCTTCCCAGTGCTCTATTGCTAGAGGCAGCTCTCCCAGGCAAGTTCTCCAGTGTGCAGAGAACTGGACTCTGAGATGGCAAGGCTACTCCAGAGCACCCTCACCTGGCTAAAAGCAAATAAGGAAATAGGAGTCCAACCAGAAAGGCCTGGAAGTTTATCAGGGGCAGGATCCTAGTACCTGAAGGATCAAAGTACCTGGTATCTCCCACCCCTGGCTGGAATGGGGACAGAGGTTTCCCTGAAGCTAAAAATAAACACAGGACAGTACTGAATTTCAAAAGACAATTTTATTTAGACAGAAACCTTCAAACAAAACAGAGAAATTAGGCATTATTAAAATACACTTTTGTCAAGTGATTTAACATTAGAATACAATGGAGGGAGGATGGGAAACACATGGCAACTCAATCCAATGCAGGGTGAGTGATACCCTGTAGGACAGCTGTGACTGGGCAAAGGTTGTATCTTTCCCACAAATGTCTACCTCTACCAACCCCCACTCTTCCCCAGCACCCTCCAGAAAAAGAAGAAAAACAGGCAGCACTCCAGGTCCTTTATTCCACCTCAAGTGCCAGCAACAGATTGGATCCATGCTGTTCAGGGGCCCTGGGATGGAGAGGTCTGTGGAAGCAGGGAAATTATATGGGCAGGCCACTCCAGTGGGAGCCTGAGCCCTTTGGCTAGCAGTACCCAGAGAAATAGGCAGATATACCAACAAGTAAGAATTTTGGAAGCCACAGTAGACATTCCCCTCCCTATATGGGCACACTGGGGGTAGTTCAACAGGCTCAGGGCAGAGACCATCAGAGTTAAGACAACTCTGATTCAAAACTCACAGAGGCTAGCATCCCAGCAGTCGCTTCTGGGGAGACAGGATCCCATGATATGATATACACTTTGCACAGCAGAACATGAAGAGGCAATGTGGGACCCAGCACATCCTGGGCTCACCAGACTGGGCTGGCAGTGGGTGCCAGCTCAGACCAACCCTTCTACATGCCCTACCCTGCAGCTGTCTCTGACTGGGGAAGGAATTGTAGGCCAGAGCTGGAAAGACCACAGGCGGCTACTGGGAATCTTCGGGCTGCTGGAATCTCTCCTGGTACCCACAGGAATGACTTGTTCAAACACACAGGCCCTAAGCAGTTGCCAAGACAGCCTTGTAGACACAGAGATAAAACCAGCACCCACTACTTTGATCTTGATGTCCAAAGTCTGCCTGCAAGTCAAGGTGAGTGTGCCTCCACACTGGACAGCTGAGGGCACCTGTGTCTGCTTCTGCCCCTGAAGATGGACACTCCCAGCTGACCCTCCCAACACCAGAACAGCCCCAGTGTGAACAGTCTGCTGGCTGAAAAAAATCACAACTTCAAACCTTGCCCTTCTCATCCCAGTCTAAGTACCTCCCACAAGTCCTATTTGTGGTACCGGATGAAGATATTTAGGATGGGCCCTGTCCCTGGCAGATGCCAATTCTAGCAGACAAGCAAGCCAAACAGAGACCCAGTGACCACTGCCTTTTACAGTCCTGATGATGGTCATGGTGAGCTTCCCCCAACCCCCACAGTGCAAGAGAGTAGAATTCTGGAGTGTTCAAACTTTGCCTACCCCAGCCCTATCACCCGAGACCCCCCCTCCCCCACCCCATTCACTGGAGAGTTAATATCGTTAATGCACAAATGAAATCGTAAGTCATACCAAGGATCAGGAAAGATTCTCTCCCACAGAGCCTTCCAGGGTTGGCTGAGAATAAGCCCTTCAGCACCTATAAGAGCCACTTAGTTTATGTTTCATTTTTCCCAACATTACATCTTTGAAGACCTCAAGTTCTTTCCCAAAGTCACAACCACACATATGAACATCAATGTTCCCACCCTTAAGTCACCCTTCCATTCCTCTTGAGAACTTCAAAATAAAAACAGCCGGTCTGCCTGGCTGCAGATCTTCTGGGGCATCGCTTCTTCTCCAGGGGCCGTGGTTCTGATGTGACATGACGATCCAGCGCCTGCCTCGGGGGCTACATCACATGATTGCACAGCATGAGTTTTGTTTCCGGGCCTCAAAAGAAGAAAAAAAGGGGATGAAGGGTGCCAAGGAGGAGGTCTAAAGAGGGCTGAGAAGGGCTGGAGGGTACAGGAGATGGAGCTCCACTGAAACAGCAGAGAAAGCAAAACCAACTACAGGGATGGCCTTCAAGGCTTCAAAGAAAGCTGCCCACAGTGACACTGTTTCTAAGGCTAGGCTGGGCTCCTTACGTCTTTTCACACCCCACTAATACTCTCAATAAACTGATGAAGTTCCTGCTGTTGGACCATGTGTAAGCAAAAGAAGCAATAATGGGAACTGGGCTGGCTGAGTATCACAGTGCTATCAGACCATCCTGATGGTGTTTCTGGAGAATGGTCTTTCAGAGAAGAAACACAGTTCTGGCTCATGTTTGTAGGGGTTGATATTATACCTGTTCTTACTTTCTAATCAAATGCCACCCTCCTAACCCCACCAGTTATGTAACTCAACGTAAATATGCAAAGGCAGACTCATCTCCACCACTGTCCCACAATGGGCCACGAATACAATGCAGGGGCTGAGGAGATGGTTCAGCAATTAGGAGCACTGGCTGCTCTTCCAAGGATCAAGGTTCAATTCCCATCACCCACATGGCAGCTCATAACCATCTCTAACACCAGTTTCAAGGAATTCTATGTTCTTTTCTGGCATCTATAGGCACCAGGCATTCATGTGGTATATATACATACATGCAAGCAAAAAACACCTATGCACATTAAACAAAACAACACAATGTTCACAACTACAAATTTAAGTAATGCCTGCAGAGAAACTCAGTCAGCAGGAGGAGCCCTGCCAATGAGAGGGAAATGCATTAGACAACTAATGCATTTACAAAGGTGAGCTGCTGCCATCTTAAACACTAATGCCTAACTGCTCTGCCAACGGAGGAATCAGAATGGGAAGGTGGTGCTGGCTCTGAAGCCAGCCAGGCACAGCCTTAGTCTAGTAGAAGAATGCCTGAGTGTAAGCTGCCAATCACTGGAGCTGAAGCACTTGCTTTAGGCTCCCACATCCCAAGGAGTGGTACCCAAATCCAATCTTGATTAAAGAGAGGGCCAGAGAAACAAGCTGCAATGGCACCTGGGAGGGGAGACCCAGGAAGGACAGGCAGCGCTACTCACAGTTTTATAGAAGGCTTTTGACTGTGTTCCCAGTACTTCCGATTTGGATACCAAGTCATCAAGCTTCTCACCTCGCTCTAACAAAGACTCCATGGTGTTATGCTAGACAAAAGAGAGGAGAGAACTCTTGGCTCTGCTCAGTTAAGTGGCTACTGACAACAGGACCTTATAGATGCTGAATGGTAAGAACTACCTCCTCTGGACCCCTACCCAACAGACACCAACAAGCACCGGGAGACAGTCCCAGAAGATATCTCCAGTCAAGTCAATAGTACAGGGCCTAGGAGCTTTCCCAGCACAGATTCAGAAAGCACTGCTCTAGAAAGCTTGTATTTGTACTTGTGTGCCTGTGCAGAGGTTTCTATATGAACAGAAAGACATATACCAGTACTACACGAGTGTACTAAGATGGATAGTGTCTATCCAAAAGTCACATCCACACAGAACCTCTGAATGTAACCTCATTTGGAAATAAGGTCTTGGCAAGTGTCATCAGTTTAGGATGTGGTGATGCTGGATTACGGTGGCCCAATTTCCTTAACTAGCATCTGCATAAAAACAGAAATGCAGACACACAGAGAAACTAAGGAACAGCAAGCACTGCAAGCAGCAATTAGAAACCGGGGAACGGCATAGAGCAGACATTATTCACATGGCCCCAACAAGAAACCAGCCTGACTCAACAACAATATCGAACTTCCAGCCTCCTGAGAGAGAACGTATTTCTATTGTTTGGAGTCATACAGTTTATGGCTACTTCTTAGCAGCCACGGGAAACTAATAAAGTGAAAAAGCAGTATCACCTGACCCAGGAGCTACCAGGCACTCGAGGTGAGACAAGTCCTAATATATGCTGCAAATGCAAACACAACAGATTTCAGAGAGTCAGGCTCAGTATGCAAAACACTTCATTAGTGTGACTGGAGAGATGGCTCAGTGGTTAAGAGCACTGGCTGTTCTTCCAGAGGACCTGGGTTCAATTCCCAGCACACACATGGCAGTTCATAACCATCTCTAACTCCAGTTCCAAAGGATCAAATGCCTTCTGGCATCCAAGGGCACTGCACAAATATAGCATCCAGGCATTACATGCAGACAAAAATATCCTTATATATAAAATAAAAAATAAAGAAAAAGTTATAAAAAGAAATAGTGAATTTTTTATTCTGAACATACGATGGAAAGATTTTGTATATTCTGGATTAAATAACATTAAATTTCAACTACTTTCTGTCATTTTAAAATACAGGTCCTTCAAAACTTAGAATTACAAATACAAATCATATACACAACAGATTACATTCCTACTGACAGCACCATGACAGGAAGCATGAGTCCCTGAATTGAGCTTTAGTCTGTCAGCACTGCAGTCTCTGCTTGGGGAAACAAGAAGAGACGGAGGCCCCACAAGAGCAGAGGTCCTGCTGCCTGGCTCATAATGAAGAGCAGCCCATCTCCTTGCCTAGACAGCCACTGCCAGGCAGCTGTACAACTTGTTTGAAATGGTATCAATTGAGGAGTTAGTAAATTGTGCTTTATTCCTGTACACAGCTGAGCAATTCATGTAACATGAAATGTTAGCTGAAGGCTTAGACTATAGCTCACTGGCAGAATGCTCACCAAGCAGCTTACACTGGGATCACTGATTCCCAGGTTGATCTCCTCAAGTAGAGGGTGCTGTGAACTAAGATGGGGTCATGTGAACAGAGAGTCTGATGAAGCTGGTGGAGAGGCAGTGTGACTATCATTAAAATAAGAACGGACTGTGTATGGTCAGTGACACACCCTTCGTCCTTTGGTCCTCATGCCTGCTCTCCACCTTCTTGCTTACCAGAATGATTTTGGTCTCATCCAGTTCGGCTTGTACTTTACTCATGGGATCAGCTTCTCGGGGGTTCTAGGAACCAAAACAAAAACAAGACTAAGAACGGAGTGACCTATAAACAAACTCGAACTAAGGAAGCTGAACCAACACTCACAATAACAAAGGCACAGAGCAGAGAACTTAAAAGCCTGTCTAGAGCTAGATTTCTAAGTCTAAAGGTATTTCTCTACATTGTCCAAACAGATGGCTCTCCTTGCACAGGCCTTGAACTGTCATGGTCATAGCATGTCTGGACAGTCTCTAGAGCTCACTTCTTTAAACTCACCTGGTATCTACTAAGGTGACCATCCAGGGCTGTGTACTGGATTGTAGCTGGTGACCCTACTGGCCAGTCTATCCTATCCACCTGCTTGGAGAATTCATCTAGTACCTGCAAAACAAAGCATATGCAACATATCTCCCACCCATGCTCACCAGCATCTTTGGTGACCCAATTTCACCACCAGCACTCATCCCAAATGATGCTCCCAGGCCCCCCAGGTACGAGGACATCTAATGGCAAAAGAACAGTCTTGATTCAAGTTCAGTTTTTCAAATGTTTACACATCCTAAGTAGTCTAGAAACAAAAGTAAAGTGTGCCCAGTCTAGGGTAAACTTCACCTGGAGAATGATAAAAGTATTCTCATTTTACACTAGTTTTAAAATAGCCCTCTAGCTTTCCAAGTAATTCTTCAAGAAAGTGAGCTAGGTTCTTTGGACGTAAGCAACCACCAAATTTCATGTGCCTAGAAGTGTTTTAATGCTGTGAGGAATAAGACAAGGGAGTTTTTGCCTCAAAGTTCATAATTAGAAGTTATTAGGTATTAAATGCCATAGAGTGGGTAAGAATGGCACATGACTTTAACCTCAGTACTCAGGAGGCAGAGACAGGTAGAACTCTGAATCTGAGGTTGAACCTGGTCTACATAATGAGTTCCAGGCAAAACAGAGCTACTAGTAAGTCCCTGTCTCAAAAACAAAGAAACAGTTAATTCCATTAAGCCACTGACCTACACCAGAGAGCTACAGTAACTGCCTGCAAGAGCAACAAGAACAAGGAACCTTCAGCAAAAGCAAAAGGGAGAGGGTGGCAGCTGTGTTCTATTCCAGAGACAACATAATGCAACCCAGTGACAGGAGCCAGCACCAAGCACATGAAGGGCGGAGTTAGCACCAAGGAGGAAATATATACAGGTAGGGATTCAAATGTCTCCTGGTTTGGGTGGAGGTGATGGCTGAAAATGTGGCCTCTGGACCAATCACCCTTGTGCTTCAGGTACTTGGTCTACCATGTGTCATACTTGTCATCCTGGTCTAAACACACTCACCTTCTCCAGCAAGGTAAAGGCCACTCTGGAAGGGTATTCGCTGTCAGCAATGACCACACCTGCAAGACTGTCACTCCGGACGTAGACATGGCAAAGATACTCTAAGGAGATAAGAGACCTCACATGTGGCTTCTGACATGAGGGCTAGACTCTTCTGAATGTGCCAATGCATCTCACAATGCTGGCTCCTGCTTTCTAGGTCAGACAAAGCCAATCTGAATCTACTTTGAACTCAACTGCGCTGAGTGATCCTACTGAAGGCTCTGTACCACAGTTCTATGGGAGATACCTAGGAGCTAACTAATACCCTAGGCTCCCTGAGACTATGTGTGTAACAAGATCAAATGAGCTGCCAGGGATGGAAAACACACCAGATGCATGTCCCTCAGAACAATTCCAGATCACTGCCTTTAGCTCAGGCTAAGCCTTGGCAATTCATGGCCCTCTGAGGCTCTGTGCTGTTCCTAAATTGAGGGTACACAAGGCAAGATAAGCTGCTTCTACTTTCTTAAAATAATTTCTTCATGAGCCAGGCAGTGGTGGTGCATGCCTTTAATCCCAGCACTTGGGAGGCAGAGCAGGCAGATCTCTGAGTTTGAGGCAAGCATGGTCTACAGAGCTAGTTCCAGGACAGGCTCCAAAGCTACAGAGAAACCCAGTCTCCCTCCCCGCCAAAAAAAAAAAAAAAAAAAAAAAAAAAAAATCTTCAGAGTGGCCTGAGAAGCAGAAAGTTACCTCCTAGAGCTTCAATCTCCTGGGATAAGGCATGGTTTGACCTACTTCAGCCTGTGGTGGGTGGCTAAGAGGAACTGTCTAGAAAACAAGTAACCACCCCTGGCTGAGGTCTCTAGTGTTACTGCATTAAAGCTGTCATATGATGAAAGGGTATAGTTTCTAGAAAGGCCTCTGCAAAAACAACCATAATCTACAGGATTGTTGGTTTTCATCACTTTCAAAGGTTTCAGAGATGAAATGTCTAACCACATCCCAGGATAAGTGAACCAAGGATGAGAGCTTACAAATAACGACCTCCTTGTTCTAAGGATCTGACCCAGAAGATTCCAATATTAAACAGAAAGAAAAACAAAAGAGGAAAGGATTTTAAGTTCCAGGAATCAGACATGGGCAGAGAAAAACAAAACCGGAGAGGAGGTGAGATGGAGAATTATCATCTTATTTTGTATATATTATCAAATAAGAAAGAACCAAACATGGAGTCAGTTTCCATAGAAACTGAGAAGCTTGCCAGTGTGAGCAGAGCCCTTTTCACTGCTGTGATAGTCACTGCACAGACACTCTTCATGGAGAAATATGGTCAGCATCTGTGTCTATGACTCTATCATCGGTTCAGGAATCAATCTTAGAACTACCATCTATGTGAGGTCACTGTCTTAGTCGGGGTTTCTATTGCTACAATGAAACACCATGAGCAAAAAGAAAGCTGGGGAGAAAGGGTTCATCTGGTTTGATCTAGTTCCAGATCAAAGTCCATGATTGGAGGAAATCAGGACAGGAACTCAAGCAGGGCTGGAACCTGGAGGCAGGAGCTGATGCAGAGGCCATGGAGGGGTGCTTACTGGCTTGCTTCCCATGGCTTACTCAGCCCACCTTTTTATAGAACCCAGGATAACCAGCCCACCATGGGTTGGGCCCGCCCCTATTGATCACTGAATGAGAAAATGCCTTACAGCTGGAGCTCAAGGAGATATTTCCTCAGCTGAGGCTCCTTCCTCTCTATAATTTGTGTGTTGACACACAGAACCAGGCAGTACAGTTGTCTTTGTCTATGCCTGATGAAATTCATGTAACTTCAAATTTGTCTGTAAAATGTGAGTCTAAAACATACACCCAAAACTGATATCCAAAACCTAAATTATGAAATATTCTGCTCAAAAAAAAAAAAAAAAAAAAAAAAAAAAAGAAAGAAAGAAAGAAAGAAAGAAAGAAAGAAAGAAAGAAATCAAGCTAGCTAGAAACCCTCTTTTAAAGCATCTGCAACTTGGAGAGGAGAGGTAGAATGGGAGGCTGCTCATGGCCCAAGCCTGTCAGGCTGAGTGCAATCTTTACTGAGTGCAAACTGGGCAAGTGCAGTTGCATAGCAAGTTTTGTAGAGTGAGCTTGGACTTCAACATTGGGTTCAGAACTCTGTATAAATAAGAGAAGCAAGGAGAGAAAACAGGGCAGCAGCAGATCATAGTCTGGGAACGATCGTTTGGTGCAGGTAGCAGCACAGTGCACAATCCATCTGCAGTGTGACAGCCAGGCCAGCACTCAGGGGTGTGAGTGCCCTTACCTTGTTCCTTGACAGAGGCTCTGCTGCCTTTTGCCGATCGTTCCACAATCAGTTGACTTGTAAAGGCCATGAATTCCTGAACACTAGGAAACACAACACATATTTATAACCTTCTTTCAAGTCACACTGCTGCCAACACATGGAGACCTCTGAGGCTCTAAGTTAAGGAGACATTCATTGCCTCTTGGTTTTATTTTATTCCCTCCTAACCTTAGAAACAATAATAAACACATTGTAAATGAACATAAATGCATATACCACCATTCAAGTCATGTCTGTGCACTTCCAGATAGCTAGGGTATTTTCTTTAGGCTACAGTCAATTAACATTTCAATGGAAACATGACTTGGGGTCCAGTGATTTGGCTCTTCGGATACAAGCACCTACAGTCAAGCCTGACCACCTGAGTTTGATCCCTGAAACCCACATGGAGGAAGGAGAGAAATGACAAGTTGTTCTCTGACCTCCATAAGCATCCCATGATGTGCTCATACCCACACATACACACACAGGAAATAAAAATGTTGACTAAAATTTTCTAAAAAACCAACATGCTTGGGAATAGTGGCAAAGAAGAAAGCAGCTCCTTTACTAGCTTCCCAGAAGCAGGATAGCTACACACTGCTCTAGAAAAACACTAGTGGCAAAAACAGTCAGGCAAAAGCACCCCAGTTGGTGCCATGCCCACAGGACAGATGCTGGCTGGGAATGCCACAGACCTACACACAGAGACAGCCTGGTCAGGTCTGCTGATGCCCAGAGCACTGTGGAAGGAATGGAAAGAAACAGCTTAGTCAAGACAAGAAGTGGACGTAGCTCATAAAGCTGCAACAGATGTTTGTCATGGGCCCAAAAGAGAGGTGTAGACCTGGCCAGGATGGAAGAATTTCAGGAGATGGTCCAGCCAGAGGCGAGATGAGAAACCTTCAACTGCAGATGCACGATAAAGGGCAGCCAGGGCCATCAGTACAGGGTTGTTTGTGGGGTTTTTGAGGCAGGGTCTATGTAGCCCTGGCTGTCCTGAAATTCTTACACAAGACCAAGCTGAGAGGTCCTCCTGCCTCTGTCTCTTGAGTGCTGGGATTAAAAGTGAGCACCACCATACCTTGCAGTACAGGATTCTTAACTTCAATATCTGAAGATCTAACTCTGAGATTTCAAGTCTTACTAAGTATCAGGCTGTGTTGACCTCGGTAGTAAAATCAAGTCTGGTGTGATAGTTAAAATGAGTTAATATATTAAAAGTACCTGGTACCTTGCCTGGCACACAATACACAATTATTATCATGAGGAAATGGCATGGTCAAATAATCACACGCATACATATCACACACACACACACAAATTCTTTAAATTTTTTCTTAAATCCTCAAAAAAGCCTTTGCAATAAAACTAAAACGACAATATTTAGAGCAGGGGTACAGTCATGTATTAGGAAGAAGTGCATTAATTGTGAGAGACTATTGAAAGATGAAAGTGAGGGGTCTCACTGAACCAGAACATGTATCTGTCTGTGTCACTGCTAGTCATTTGAAAGAATAAGTGAGTGGTGCAGAGGATGCTACGCCAATCTTTCATATAAATATGAAGGGGGAAAGATTAAAATATCTAGAGCCAAGTTGGCACCAAAGGTTCCATCAGAGGAAAACAACATCAAGCACAGAACAGAGGCCAGGGAACATAAAGTAGAGAAGCAGGAAGAAATGGGAAGGAGCCAAGAGATGACACAATCCCACTTCTGGGAATATACACCACAGAACTGAGCTGGGTCTCTATGTGCATCCATGTGGGTGCACACCTATGTGCAGGTGCGTATGCACACATGGCATCATTCCTCAGAGGCCATCCACCTTAGATGAGGCTGGCTTGGAGCTCATGGCATAGGCTAAGCCAGAGAACCAGTCATTATGCCCGAACCCCATCATCTAGTCTCTACCTCCCCAGCTTTGGAAGTACAAGCACGTGCCACGACACCCAGCATGTATGGTACCAGACTCAGGCCCTCAGGTAGGAAGCACTGTCCTGAATGAGCTAATTCCCCAGGTATCTTCCAACCCTTTGCAAACTTTATTCAGGGCCTCAATATGCAGCAACTCGTATCCATCAGCAGATAGACGAATAAGCAAAACAGTATTCATATAAAACTCAATATTGTATACACTTTAAAAGGAAGAAATCTTTGGTGTCTGAACCTTGAGGCCACTCTACTGAGTAAAATCAGTAAGACATAAGAAGACAAATACTATTTGATTCCACTTATATGGAGTCTTAGAATGGTCAAGATCCGAGACAGAACCCAAAAAGGCAGGCTTCCCCCTAACTTTGAGACAAAATGACCACAGGTCCCATCCTGTTGGGTCCTTCTCCTTTGATGTCTGTGTCGCTCTGTCCACTCCCACAAATGGGCTGGGTGTCTGCGGCACTCTCAATTAAAGCACTCAGAACCCTCTGAAAGCCAGGAAGCCCTACAAATTCAATGCTTCCTTCCATACCAGAAGCGTGGACCCTTTCTGATGCCCAGGGCCTAAACACTAAGAACCAGAATATGAGGTTGACTTCTAGCTGTGCCCAACACCCAAACCTTGAGAAATCAGTGACTTCAGTCATAAAAGGAATACCTCCATACAGCTTATGTGGATTGTTGGAAAGGGCTCTCTGAACAGCGGTTCTCAACATGTGTGTCGCGACCCCTTTGGCAACCCTCTATTTACAAAAATACTTACATTCCTATTTACCACAGTAGAAAAGCTACAGTTATGAAAACGCAAGGAAAATACTTTTATGATGGGGAACTGTATTAAGGGGTCGCGGCGTGAGGAAGATTGAGAACCACTGACTGATACCAAACACTCTGGTTAAATCAGTGGGTGCGAGGTGGTTATCAAAGTACTTATTTCTGGGTCTCGCTATCCTACTTCACAACATTCGGCAGTGAACCTGGTAATCCGCACGATTTTCAAGTATCCTTCTAATCTTTCTGTAACAGGACAATACTGTGAGATGGCAGAGCCCTTTACCAGGAATGCTGAAGACTCCTCAGGCACAACCCGCTGCCCGAGGCCGTGGCTGTGCTCCCCCTACAGAGACCCGGCTCCCCGGCCTCCAGGACCCAGCCCCGACCCCAGGCCTCCCGGTCCAGTCACCAGCGCCCGCCCGGCCCACTCACCTGGACCTCTGGAAGAAACTGAAGGAAGACACATCGTACGCGGCTTTGAGCAGCACCGCTTTGGGCTCGCTTTTGTAAAGCACGCTGAGGCTGTACAGCTTCATGGCGCCGCACCTTCAGGCCGCCGGCTGGGCCCCAGACCCGCTCACGGGAGCGCGGCCACCGTCCTTCACAACAGCCGCAGCCGGCTGCTGACGGGGCCGCGCCGGCTTCTTCCTCCTAGCTTGGGGGTCCACTTCCGGTTCCGGTCGAGGGTTGCGCTTGACGCTCAACGGAGGACGGAGGACAGAGTACGCGCGTGCGCGTGCGTGCAGCTGAGAGGCGAGGTCGCTGCCGGGACCGTCGGTCTCCGCCTGCGTGGCAGTGCGTTGGTTGTGTGTTCTTTTCCGGGCTGTCGCGTGCACCCTGCCTGGCGGTCCTAGACAGTGCTGTGCCGCGCCGTCGCTTTTACCTCCATCGGGCTAGAGCAGCAACCCACGCCTGTCCCTACGCTCTACTCCTCGGTACACCTTACATGTAAGCGCCAGGCTAACCAACCCTCTTCCCTGCGTATCCCCAAAACAGGGGACTAAAGGAAATTACCTCAATCCCTCCATTGCAGTAATAAACATCAAAAACGTCACTGGCTGTGGCAAGGCCCAGCGACCCCTCGTATGGGCACACTTGTTCGTCAAGCCACGCGGCCAGATGCTGTCATCCGGCCTCATTCGCCTGGCTCTACAGGCGGCAGGTGAGAACCGTTTCTGTAAAAAAAAAAAAAAAAAAAAAAAAAAAAAATCGCTTCACCTAAAATTATACAAAATGACCAGGAGGACAGTGAGTGGGTGGTAACCACTTTGCAGAAAGAGATTTAGGAAAATGGCTAGTAACCGTGAACCCCAAGACGCTCAAACTCCTTCCATTCTTGGCTCTCTTCCCACCCTTCTCTGACTTTATTCAGCCTTCCTTGGCCCCAGGAAGTCCCATCTGATCGTATGCAAATTTCCCAAGCCAAGCTTGTTAATCTATTGCAAAGAATAATTGACTTCCACTCCTTCTCTAGCTCTTACCCAACTTGAATTCAGCCCCAGTACTTCCATTCCACAAAAGTGAGAGAGTTCCCCTCACCATCTGTTAAACTTGAAAAATAGCCTTTTTTGTAGACATGTTGCTAAAGATGATAAAGTATAACATTCCAAGCCCTACTCATTGCAGATGTTTAACAACGATGATTATTTGCATTATCTATGCTCAATAACAACAACAAAGAGAGCTCATGATAGGTTGAAGGTACCCCCACAGGCTGTTGGAAGCAGAGATTTAAAGGCAGGCTAAGATCTGAACAAGATCTATTGATTAGATAATAGCACTGTATTTTCATTTCTTGCTTTCAGTCACTTCTCAAGTCATAAAAGAAAATGTATGGTTCTATGAGTAGAAATAAATGAACATCATTTATACAACTTACTCATGAAGAGTTCATATGCATATATAATATGTATACCTACATGTTGGTATATCTACATATATGTATGTCTATATACATGCATATATTGGTATGTGTGTGTATTAGGCCATATATGATTGTATTAGGGTCCTCTAAAGGAATAGAACTGATAGAATAAATATACATATATTAAAAGATGATTTATTAGATTGCCTTCAGAATTCTGTATAAGTAGTGCAACAGTAACTGTCTCACACTGGAAAGGCCAAGAATCTGGTGGGTGCTCAGTCCATGAGACTGGATGTCTCAGCAGATTGAATCTAGTGCTGAAAGTTTGGAGGATTCTTGGTGATTTAGTTAGGATTTCTGTTGCTGTGATGAAACACCATGACCAAAAAGCAAGTTGGGGAGGAAAGGGTTTATTTGGCTTACACTGTTCATCACTGAAGGAAGCCAAAGACAGGAACTCAAACAGGGCAGGAGCTGATGCAGAGGCCATGAAGGAGCGCTGCTACTTATTGGCTTGCTTCCCATGGCTTGCTCAGCCCTCCCCCCTTTAAAGACTTATTTATTTATTTATTTATTTATTTATTTATTTATTATGTATGCAGTGTTCTGTCTAGGTGCATGCCAGAAGAGGGCATCAGATCTCATTTTATAGAAGGTTGTGAGCCACCATGTGGTTGCTAGGAATGGAACTCAGGATCTCTGGAAGAGCAGTCTGTGCTCTTAATTTCTGAGGCATCTCTTCAGCCCAAGGATTGCAAACTCACCATGGGCTGGGCCCTCCCATATTGATCACTAATTTCGAAAATGCCTTGCAGCTGGACCTCATGGAGGCATTTCCTCAAGTGAGACTTCTTCCCCTCCAATGACTATAGCTTGTGTCAAGTTGAAACACAAAGCCAGCCAGTATGCCTGGAGACATTGGTCTTTGGCCTACATTTGAATCCCTAAGAATTTGGTTCTAATATAGGTGAAGGAATGCTACAGCAACAGAGTAGAAGCAAAGTTTCCTCCTTCTATTTGGATTACCACCAGCATGTGCTGCACAAATTTAGGGTGGGTCTTTCTGCTTCATTTAATCTGCCCAAGAAAATCCCTCACAGGAGCACCCAGTAGCTTGTGTTTTAGTTGATTCCAGATGCGGTCAAGTTCACAACCAAGGTTATTCATCACAAAGACAAAGCAAATACAGTAAAGAAGATTTAAGGAATCCAAATGAAGAGTGTCTAGACATTCCTGCACTGTCCTTGTAGTGGTTCAGGAAACCCAGGAACGTGGGGAGAGAAAAGCTCGGAAAGGTGAATCACTGAGATGGTAAGCACAGCCTCACACCCTCACAGCTGTGGGATGGTTCAGCTCTTGTGTCTGGTTTTCCCGTGAGTTCTGAGATGTTGAAGAAAAGCCCCTTTACAGGGCAGGAGAGTTAGCTCAGTGGGGAAAAGGCATCTGCTGCCAAGCCGGATGACCTGAGTTTGATCCTCAGTACCCACGTGGTAGAACGAGAGAACCAAGGCCCACAAGTTGTCCCCTTACCTCCACATACACACAGTAATATACATGCCAACCTTCTGAATACTCAACACGTATGCATGCATACTAACACGTACTAATAATATTGTAGGAAATATGTATTTATAATAAAAATTTTAAGATTTATTTTTTGATGTATGAATTTCTTCTTCTTCCTCTTCCTTTTTCCTTTTTGGTGTTTTGAGACAGAGTGTCTCTGTGCAACAGTTCTGGCTGTTCTAGAATTCACTTTGTACACCAGGCTGGCCTGGAACTCACTGAGATCTGCCTGCCTCTGCCTCCCAAGTGCTTGGATTAAAGATGTGCACCACTGTCTGGCTTTGATACCACCACATGGCTTGTTATTCTTGCATATATATGCATGTGCCATGTGTATTCATTGAGCCCATGGAAGCCAGAAGAAGGCATCTGATCATTAAATTCCCTGGAATTAGAATTACAGGTGTTTATTAGCTGCCATGTAGGTGCTGGGAACCAAACTCAGGACCTCTGCAATAGCAGCTAGTGCTCTTAACCACTAAGGTATCTTTCCAGATCCTAATTTTTTAAAAGCCCCTCTGCAAACATATTTAGAATAACAGTTTGCATGACCAAAGGCCCAGGTCCTGGGCATTGGCCCAGTGGATAAGGCAATGGCCCACCTGCCTCTAAAGCTTTGCCCAGCTCACAAAAGATGCTTATCCCAGCAACACAGCAGAGGCCCTAAAAAACTAAGGGGACATTGAAAGGGATTACCTGTGTGGTGAGACTTCCATGAAATCAGTTATATACATACTTTAGCGTTAGGGATAGAAAAGCCAGGTCCTCGTTCATGCTAAGCAAGTCTCCTCTACTTGTTTCATCCCTGCACAAATCTGTACCCTCTGTGCATGGATTTGATAACCGATGCAAATCCCCAGCAGACCCTGGCCCTAGGAACATGACTCCCATGACCCTTCACTGGGATGTCCCAGTTTCCACTGGGTTCTCTAGGCAACAGGGAAGATAGACATGGTCTGCCTTAAATTTTTATTTATGCCACTGGCTATGTCAGGGATAAGATTGCACTTGGGCAAGAAGGGATCACAGCCAAGGAAGGCACAACCAAGCGAAACAAGTAGGAGCTTTCCGAGTCAGTGAGTCAGGGATTTGCAGACTGCCTTCCCTGCAGGGGCTTTCCCGAAGCTATATTTGCCCTAGAGACAGCCTTCGCTGGCTGAGGACTAAATGTTCTGGACAAATGCCAGCCATTTGAAATGGGAATCCTGGTCATGCAGGCAGCTTGCTTGTGCTATTCGTGATACTTGATGGCTGTGGCTCAGCACTATGCACAAAGTGGAAGGGAGCAGGCAGAAGAGCCTGCAGGGTTACTCCTGTTCCACAGCCTGCAGCGACTTCCCTCAGCCTCAGCAGGTGTGGGTCCCACCTGTGGACAGGTGTATACAGAGGAAAGGCAAGAAAATGAGGCATGCCTTTGGAGCTAGGCACAACAAGCTAAGCCTGGCAGTATCCATAGCAACAGTCACACACAGGAAGAGTCCTTACAGGGAAACAGTACTGTGGGCTATGGATGCCACTGGTCCTCATGGCCTGACTGGCCCAATCCTGAGCTAGTCAAGAAACAACTACTGCTGCACCAGACCAAACCTCACCACACCGACACAGGCCATCCAGAGGGCTCCTGCCTCACACTGCACACAAAAAAGCTGCCCTAGGATGTGTGAGAGTAGTAAGAGTGTTAGAGGAGCAGCCAGAACACGAGGGATGCCACCAGAATGCTGGATCTCCTAACAGGCGCAAAGGCAAGTGGGTTTGTTAAATGGGTGGTTTGGAAAGTTGGCGGGGACTTGCTGTGAGATTGTGTCTCTTAGAAATGATGACGAAGCTTTACCCGTGATACCTCAACAGTATGGCTGCCTAAACAAGACCTGAGCAAGTACAGCACCAATAGACATGCTTACATGGAAGAGGGGAATCTCAGGGGACCCCCACCCATAAACAAAGAACTACAAGCAGCTAAGGAATGCTGAGAACAGGAGAAGTCGTCTCCCCCTTTATGAGCCCCCAGTTGGTTATCCAAGTGGTCAGCCCTGAAATCATATACACAGAGTAGCAGTAACCAGACCGAACAGGTTGTAGTTATATATTTATGCACATCTATGTATAAACAGATAGCAGTAACGAAGACAAAAGGTCATGGGTTAGAGAGGGCACCAGGTGGGGAGAGGGGCATGAAAGGAATTGAAGAGAAGAGAGAAGGGGGCAATACCATAATTATCCTTTTATTTCAAAAACTTGAAAATAAAAGTAAAAGATTAGACTGAAAGATAGAAGAACATTGTTAGTTTTTACAATTTGGGAATGGAAAGGCTTTCTTTAACAAAACCTTAATCCCTCAGATAAGAAGAGGTTGGAATTCATGTAAGTGGATATTTATGTATGATGCAAGACACTCGTAGTCAAGTTGTATATTTAGCAGCAAACTGTGAAATACAACACTTGGTAAACAAAAGACTATTAGATGTTTTAGATGTGATATAAAAATTTGTTCCCACAGCAATGAGTAGGAAGCAGGTCAATAACAACATAGTTTTTGAACAAGAAACCCTTAAAAGAAGAAATCCAGAGGCCTAGCAAGCTGAGGGAGGGGAGGATGGTTGTGTGTGTGTGAATAGTCAAAAAGATACACTTGAATGAACATGCCATTATGAACCCATCACTTTGTACACGTAATACACATGCTAATAAATACTTGTAAAAGAGGAAATACTGGGACTGGAGAGATGGCTCAGTGCTCTTCCATGGGGCCCTGAGTTCAGTTCCCAGCACCCACATCAGGTCCTCACAACTGCTCAAAACTCCAGCTCTAGGGGATCTTATACAACTGGCCTTTGTAGGCACCTGTACTCACTACACACACACACACACACACACACACACACACACACACACACCACAAAGGAGAAACACAAGAATCAATAGACATATAAGAAGACAGCCAACACTTCACAGTTCAAACAGCAATGAGAAGACAGAAAAACCATAAAGACTTAACTTCTCAATGATTGCCAACAATATAGCCAAACTCCTAATGTTGGCAGAAGTATTAATAGATGGATAAATCCACTTGAAAATGTCATGTGATCCTAGCTGCCAAAAATGTAAGATTCATACACCCTTTGAACCAGAGGTTTGCTTCTACAAACCGTCAGTGACCAACACTCATACATATTTACTCAGGCAAAATGCCAAGATTTCTATCCTGGCCTTCCTGGAAACTGAAAAACTCTGAAACTGTCAGTGGAAGTTGATTTCAAAATACAGTGTCTAGAAAGGTCTACCAGCCATTCCTGCTCACTCCCCTGTTCAGTGTCAGAACAATAGTGGCTCAGGTCAGGGTTGGCAGCCACCTCATTCAATAAAATAGTCACTAGCCACACTGAAAAAGGCCAGGCCTGACTGAGAAGGACTATAAGTGAGAACCGCAGAACTGCCCAGGAGACCTCAGAGTTCCGGGTCACAAGCTGCCTTTTGCTCCAGACCACTGGCGCGGATTGAACTCTCAGTCAGCGCCCTGGCCTCCAGCTCCACCGCCTAGGTCTTGCCACTGTGGAGGCCAGCTCCACCAGGGATATTTGGGCTGTGATGGTGAGAGTGCAGTGATACCCTGGGCTACAAACACGCACAGTCACATGGGCCTCTGTTCTAGCAGTGTGGACCCAGCCCGGCTTGTGTGGCTCAGGCCTACTATCCAGTTCAGATTTTACAACAGGAGGAAGGGGAAGCTGCAAGAAGCTCCTAGCAGTCCCCAGTATACATGGCCAGGCTGGCAGCCAAGAAAAGCCTTTTCCTTTCTTCTGGTTCTCAGACACAGAGGCCTCTGCTACTTAGTAAGTGTGGCAGGCACTGACCTGGGAACTAAGCAGGTGGTAATGTCTACCAGGCTGCAGTCACTGTGGTGAGAGAGTGACAGAGTGGTCACCATGGGGACGGGAGTAGAAGCCTTTGGCCATCAGTCCCAGTTTTCTGCATGGTAGCTCTAATGACAGAATGGTCACCATAGAAACCACAGGCCCTCTAGAAGCACAGAGGCCCTAGCAGGAGGAATCTACTCCACACCTGGTCGGAACAGAGGCACTGACTGTGACAGAGCCCAGAGAAGAAAGCTGGGGCGTGAGGGACACGGTTACCTGTTGCCTCATTACTCAAAAGCCATCCCCAAGCCACCGGAGGGAAAGACCTTTTCTGCTGAGTCTGTCTAGAGGCCACCAAGCCCTCACAGCTCAGCAGAACTGGAAAGAAAGTCAGTCGACACTGGGGGCAGTTCCCTGGAACCGCATGGCTCCTCCTGGAGAACTCTGGGCCTGAGGAGGCCTTGGAGGGGAGGCATCCAGAAAAGAACCATGAAAAGGAGGAAGCTGTGATTTCAACGAGCTGAAGCGGACTGCATTCTCTGCGGCCCGGTGCTGGCTGTGACTCTGTGGGAGAAGCCTGGGCTATTTCTGCTTTGGAAATCTGGTGGGGAACATTGAAGAGTTCCAGCTCACCGGGGCTGGCAGCTGCTCAGATGCTGGATGACCGAACCAGGATGGAGGCCACCAAGAAGGAAAAGGTACCTACCTCATTTTAGAATCATCCGTTTGCATGTCCCCAACACTCAGAGGTTTGGCTGCCACCTGTAGGGTCTGCGTCTCAAGATGTGCTTGTATGTACAGGATCGTTAAGAGAGATGTGGTCCGAGGCACTTGTGGGGCAGAAGGATCTCTGTTTCCTAGACTGGCATTGTGACCCAGGAGTGGAGCTGCACAGATCTGGGAAGCAATCTGCCCAGAGACTCTGAGGTGGGGGAGGGGGAGTCAGCCATCCTATTGGGGTGTATTAGTGGGACGAAACTACTGCCTTATTTTGAGGTGGTACTGAACAGTCACATCAAGTCAAAGGCCTCTTCCTTGCAGGAAGCACTTGGCAGGGGGCCTGAGGCCTGCTGCTCCATGGTGAGGAGCATGGGGTAATCCCTTTCCCCAACAAGAGTTCCAGATGTTGTCAGTACTGGCCTTGGGTTGAGCAGTGAGCAAGCAAAGAGATGAGGACTGGGCATGTTTGCTCTGAAACATGAATGGAGAACACATACATTCCTCCCATTCCAGGGACGACAGAATTCCTATTCTGAAGAGAACAGGATTCAGTCGTATTGGGCACAGTTCTCCCTGGCTTCTCTCCCCTTGTGAGAAATGTCAAAGTCAGCACAAACACCCCCTTGCCTGCTTCTGTCAGAGCCGATGATGTAAGAAGGAAACGGCCCTCCAGCTAGCCTGAGAGGGCCCACATGATGCAAGGAGCAACAGGCCAGGACCCCGGAAATTCCCACACGTGCCTGCCTCTGGTGCCCTGGTTTATTTAGTTAAGAAATGTGAAACAGAAGGACCACTTCACAACCCTCAGGAGAAGGAAGCTGGTGCTTTTAGCACAAGGTGGCTGGAGACAGAAGATGGCGAATGTATGGGTTGATGATCTGGTGATTTCTCCGTACTGGGAAAGAAACTCCAGAGTGTCTGCATATGTATTTGCCTCATTTGGGTAGGCAATGAATCACTGCAGGAAAGGCCTGACACCCATTTGAGGTCTTAGACCTTGCCCACTAGAAGGGAGATGAATATAAATATATATATATATATATATATATATATATATATATATATATATGTATGTGTGTGTGTGTATACACACACACACACACACACACACACACACACACACACACACACCTTGATACTTTCCTGGTTTTTTGTTTGTTTTTTCATTTCTACTACCCCTCTTCAGAGAACTGCAGGGTCAGCTCTCCTTGTAAGCTGCTGTCTATGCCCTGGCTTCCCAGGGCTCCTTTGGGGTCCCCAAGATTCTTTAAAGAACACACACATCAGTTTTTGTCTATGTCTAGTGTGTGCATAGAGGTCCCTGACTTGGCCAAGCAAAGCACAGGTAAAGACTCTCAGTAGCTATGTAGCAAGAAGCTGCTGGCAGGACTGGATTCAGAAGGCGTTAGATGAACTGCTGTTTTCCCGAGACTCATCAACTTCCCCGTTCCTGTTCTTATCTCTGTAGGCTGTGTATACTCAAACCTCTACCCTGTAGCCTCTGCTATTGACTTGCTACCTCTTGCCAGTTGGAATCTTCAACACCCCGAAGCCAAATCTGTGCTTCTCTCCCACTCCCCAGTATGAGTCTGTCCCTGAGGGACGTGATGTCTGGAGCAGAAGACAGGCCAGGCTGGATCTAGAGGCTGCCACTTGGCCTCTTTGGGCCTATGACTGATTGCTAATTAATTAGAACAGTGATGTTTGCCTCCACCAGCTGCTAAGAGGAAGGAGAACTGTCTGTCAGGATGGTTAGCTGAGGAGATGGGTAGTCACACCAGAAACGTGGGCACTGAGCTAAATGGGCCTGCAGGTCTTACCCTGTGTAACGGGAGTCTCCTGTTGCCACCAAACATAAGAACTTAAAACAGCACACACTTGTTATGTTAAAGTTCTAGAGTCTAAATGGATCTCTTTAAAATAAAGGTGTTGTCAGAACTGGCTCCTTCTGGGCACCAATTCCTTTCCCCTTCAAGCTTCTACAGGCATCCAAATCCCTGGGCTCCCGATCCTTTCTTCTGTAGCCCTCTCACCCATTTCCATCATCACAGAGTCTCTGCCTCTCTTGCCCATTGGGATAACACTGGCCCAAACAGATAACCCAGGATCATCTCAGTCACCAGCTAAGTCACGTCTCCAAGACTTTCTACCACATAAGTTGACATACTCACAGGTCCCAAGGGACATGTGTAGGAACCATGGCCCTGTCTCTTCTTCTGTGCCATCTCCATCTCCCACATTAACACCCCCTCAACCACGAGTTCTTCCCTGACTCTCTGAAGTCCCACCAGCATTACACATCATTAGCTCACTGGGTTTGTGAACATATTCTCTTGCCAGAGCAGATGAAGCTAAGCCCGTGCCACACCCCCACTGGAGTGCTGCTTTGTCTTCATGTACCTGTGGCCTACAGCTGTCCAAAATATTATGTGGAAAATTCTAAAAGTGAGCCAACAAGAAGTTTTAAAAGATTTACTTTTTACTTTTCATTACATGCATATGCATGTCTGGGTCTGGGAATGTGCTGCGTGTGAATCCAAATGCCCTCACAGTCTAGAAGAGGGCATCAGATCCCTTGGAGCTGGAGTTACAGGTGGTTGTGAGCCATCCAACATGGGTGCCGGGAACTGAACTCTGCTCCTTTGCAAGAGCAGTAAGTACTCTTAAGTACTGAGCCATCTCTCCAGCCCTCCAACATAAGTTTAAAATTGTATGTTCTGTGTAGCATGATGAAACATCTCACATGCTTCTCCTTTGTCAATTGTGTCCACTTTTTACTGTATAGCAATATATAACATAGGATGTACTTGCTACCTGCCCAACATTCACTTAGAAGCTATCTCCATTATCAGATTGATTGACAACATCTCAAAGTTGTCAAAGTAACATCTGTGTGGTAGCCTAACTGCTTCATGATGCCTAGTGTCATTCATACATCCCATCTCATTATATAGGGATTAAATCACCTCCCCTCACAGAAGATGGGAGAATGCAGTAGAGCAGTATGGTTTTTTGGTTGTTGTTTTTGTCTTTTGTTTTTCAAGACAGGGGTTCTCTGTGGCTTTGGAGGCTGTCCTGGAACTAGCTCTTGTAGACCAGGCTGGTCTCGAACTCATAGAGATCCACCTGCCTCTGCCTCCTGAGAGCTGGGATTAAATGCTTGTACCATCACCTCCCAGCCAAGCAGTATGTTTTGAAAGAGCATTTATCATGGAATATTGTTATAATTAAGCTGTTTTATTATTAGTTATTGCTGCTAACCTCTTGCCATGCCAAATTTATAGATTAAATTGCATTATGGATAAGAATACATAGGAGAAATGTTGTATATATAGGGCTTTTTGTCTCCTAAAGTCTTTAACTATCCACTGAGGGTCTTGGATGCACCCTGCCCCAAGGATAAGAAAAGCTATTTTACTTTTAAATATAAAACAACCACATGGGCAACATTGAGTAGAATGAAAGAGCGGGGCGGGCTGTGCTCAGATTTTTCCAAGCTCACACAGCCTTTGCATTTCATGCTGAAGTCTCCTGCATGGCTCAGTGAGCCATGAGGCAGGTGGGTGAGTGGAGGGAGCTCCTGGTGTGGACAGGGCTTTGGTACTCTGCGAATGGGATACACATCCTTTCTGTTGCCTTTCTGAGCAGCCTGCATGGAAGGCTCAGCGGGAGGGAATACTGTCTGTTCCCTGGTTGTTTGTCCTAGGAGGGTTCTGAAGTGGTAAATAACTTCAGGATATATGGGGTTCTTCCAGCTCCTGAATACAGGAGAGACTGACTGATGCAGAATCCGTGGAGACAGGAGTCAGTTCTCTACCATCTGTCCTACTCCCCATAAACACTATTGGTATTTGACTGCTCTGCTGCCAAGGACTTTCAGCTCCTTCCATTGTCAGCGAGGGGGCCTCTTGCTGAAGGAATAAAGGTCCTCACAGATAGACTGCAGGACTGCTCTGGTACTAACTTCTTGGGTCACAAAAGCAGAACCTGACGTGAGGATTCTGTGCTTGGGATTTAGCAGTCCTTCTGAGGCAGGCCCAGCTTTTGCACTCGTATAGTCACAGGTTCCTGGGGGCCCTGGGAAGAGGCTAGGGCTTCCAGATTTGGTGAATAAAAAATTAGGATACTCTGTTAGATTTGAATTTTAGATAAACTGTCCCAAATAGTCCATAAGCACTATATTTTCTTTGCCAAGTTTAAAGGAGTAACTGCCCTGTCTTTCTAGGGAAGCTGATTCCATTTGAAAAGCAAGTCTCAGAGTGAGTGTGGCAGTGAGCTGATAGCAGCCATCTCTAAACCCTAGGGAGGGACAATGGCCCACCAGGTACCAAAGTATCTGTGGAAATATTTGCAGTGAGCAAGATGATTATTCATAGACATAAACATGCCTATTACAGAGCTTATCAAGTGTTAAGTAACTTGGTAGGTGATTATGAAATTGCTTTATGTCATGTGTAAATATTTAGTGGCTTGCTTTACCTGTGGAGTGTTTTAATAATAGTTAGTTCCTGGGTGGGTCTCATACCTTCTCTCACTTTTAACCCTAGAGTACCGGGCTCCTGTGGAGTAATTCTGCCATTAGTAAATTAGTGCTGCAATGCATTCCTCAAACTGGCTGTAAAAGGAGTGAGAGATGTCTCAGTTAGTAAAGTTCTTGCCGAGAAAAAATGAGGACCCCAGGTCACATGCCTAAAATTCCAGAGCTGAGCAATTGGAGATCAGAGAGACCTGGTGCACGCCTTTAGTCCCAGCACTCGGGAGGCAGAGGCAGGCGGATGCGGATCTCCTGAGCTCAAGGCCAGCTGGTCTACAGAGAGAGTTCCAGGACAGGCTCCAAAGCAATACAGAGAAACCCTGTCTCAAAAAACCGACAGAGAGAGAGAGAGAGAGAGAGAGAGAGAGAGAGAGAGAGACCTGGGGCTTACTGACCAGCTAGTTTAGCCAAATCAGTAAGCTCTAGATTGAGTGAGAAACCTTG